GTATTATTAATAATATGAAGGCCATCAATCAAATTTATGTCTGCTGGAGTATGATGTTAAAGGAAATGGACTGAATTCTCAATTTATAATGTTTTGATTTAATAACAAGCACTGCTTGGATTTCTTGCTGGCTGTTAAGGAGGAGTAGTGAGTGCAGCCCAGGGAGCCTGCCAGTTGTGCAGTTGGGTTCCTCTGAGCTGGCGTTGCAGTCTCTGCTGAATGTCAAAAGAGAAGGGTTTTTCAGAGTGTTTCCAGAAATGGTACAGCTGGCAGAGTTCACAGGATAGTAAAGCTGCTCTCATGCACTGGGCAGCTTCAGGGCAGTCAGACAAATGCAGCCAAACTCTAAGGTGATGTGATGGAGAAAGTGTGCACAGTAATGTGCCCACAGGTTCACAGCTGCATTAATTGTGGCTGGAGGGGTCATTCATTATCAGGTAATGTAGTCCCTTCTTGGAAGGACCTGCGTGTCATGGCCTTGGGCCATGGAGAAATGTAGTGTTAAGGATTGTAGGTCAAGGATCTGATTTCCATTTCACCTTTTCAAAATCTAAGAAACTGGAAGAATTGGAGAAAGAGGAAGAGCTGAGAGAAGCTGCTGGAGAATATGACAGCGAGCCAGAGAGTGAAGATGAAGAAATGATGGAAATCCGACGATTGGCAAAGAAGATCCGAGAAAAGAAGAAACTGAAAATCCTGCAGTCAAAGGAAAAAGATGTTCATGGTCCAAGGATGCCTAGAACAGCTAAAAAGGTGAGTATAGAACATGTTCTGTAACAAAATCTTGCTGCTGTGTAATAACATCATGAAAACCTGGAACAGTACCAGTTAGTGGAAAAGATGGCTTTTTTTCCATGCTTGGCCCTCTCACTTGCTGCTTGCTTCCCTCTGTCCTCCCTGGAAACTACTTAGCTGTGGAGGCCATACCACATGAGGGATAGTAGCCCTTTTACTTTTGTGTCACATAAGTGTTTCTTTTGTAAAATTCTACATATATCGCAGAAAACGTTTTTGAACAACACAGTTCAGTTTGTTGAATTGGGGTGTTTGTATATTTTTATTGTTGTTCTTGTTGGTTGGCTGTTTTAAATTCAAATAATTAGAAGAATTAGATAATTACTTAAAATCACAATCACGTAAAATTTTTCCTGAGGCCCTCCCAGTGCTTGAAAAGATGATGTTTCTTTTTGGAAGCCGGGTGTCACTCTTTCTGATAGCAGAATCTCTTGTGACCAGTCCAGGACGATTGCAAATTACTAAGCTCATAACCAGACATTTTGAGAAAATGAATCTAGCTGATGTTGCTCCTGGTATCTCTTACTTTCTCCAAAGTGTGTGCCTTTTGGGAGAAAAGGAAACATTTCTGACCGAAATACCTCTCTTTGCCTTTCAAAAAAGGCAAACTATTTATAAGGTATTTAGAAAATGCTGGGCCATTGCAGTCTGTGAAGCAGGATTTATGGGTGAAGAGAATTAAGTTGCAAAAAAATGAAATGTGAAGGTAGGACTTCAATTATCTGCTTGTGGGATGTGACAAAGGAAAAAAATATATAGTGAATAAAATGGGCTTGTGGTGGTATATTGAGACAAAAGATAAGGTGGAACCATTCTTTTCTGAAAGAAATATGTTTTCATAACTGTCTTTTTGCAGGTCCAGAGGAAGGTGCTAGAGAAAGAAATGACCGATCTTGGACTTGACATGACTAATAAAGATGATGTAAGTTTTTGCTAATTAAACACAATGTTTATCAAAAAGAGATTTAGATTTAAATTTAAATGTGTATTACAGTAGGCACAAGAGAGGGGGGGATCTGTTAAGGACAGACTAGGAACCTCAGATGAGGCAGTTGGTACTGGAATTTTTTGAGTAATGTGATCAAAACAGGTAGGGTAAGCTAAAAAACTAAACTGACATTTAGCAAGAATCACATATATATGTGCACTGCTTTCTTGGAATGTATGTAGGATTCAAGAATGGTTTTAGTTAAACATACTTCTTAATTTTCAAGTCTGCTTTGTTGGATGAGACTGCCAGAAATAGTAATAATGACAGGTCAGGCTTATCTTTTTACCGTTCACTCATTCTCTGAGCTGTAATGCAGCTGGCATCTTCAGATAAAGTAACTAAAGCTAAAGTACTTCAAACATAGATTTGCCTTCAGGAGACATTTCATTTTAACTGAAATTAAAAAAAAATCCATTTTGTGCAGCAAATCCAGCAGTACTATGGCTCTCTAGATCTTGAGACCTCAAATTCTTTAGCAAAACAAGGAGTTAGGAAACAAGGAATGTCAACACTGTCTGAAGCAAGCACTTACTGTTCTCAGAGCTGACATCCATTTGATGTAGGAATGATCTCAGTGAGAAGGAGTTTAATACTTATGCTATAGCATGATAAGTCTTCATGTCTGAAAACCTCAGGGCTTTGCCCTGGACACAGTACATTAATCAGGGTAGGTTTCTTCATTGCTTTTTTGCTGTTGCAAAATTGCTTCAGTATTGCTGTCCATTAATTTGTATCTTTTTATGGATTACTTATCCAGTCTACTCACAAAAGCCAGAAAACTGTAGTTAGTAATTGTGGAGGAAAAAAGTTAATATTCATTGAAATTTGAGTGTTACTGAGGACAGGGAGTCACTGACCAACAGTTGACAATATCTTTACGCTACTATGAAATAACCGATATAATTTATCACAGCAGTACACATCCTGTTTTTCCTCTGATTAGAAGTGGAGCGTGTCTGAGCTGATTGTTTCTGGTTTTAATGACTAAAGTGATGCTTTGAATTTCAGGCACATTATGTGAGAAGGTCCCGTAGCACCACAAGGAAACGTAAACGTGATGAGTCTGAAACCCCCACATCCGTGGCGCGGAGCCGCAGCTGCTCCCGCACACCCCGGGATGTGTCTGGACTTCGTGATGAAAAGGTTTGTTATTTACCTCTATGGCACTTAAACCAGCTGCTGGGAAACTTCAGAGCAGGCTGGTTGTGTTTGTCCAGAGTTCATGTTGGGTCTCTTTGCAGCTTCAGCACCTTTTCATTTGAACTCTTAAATGTTCAAGTTCCCTCTTAAAAGTAACATGTAACAATACAGACCAAGGGAGCACATCTTAAATTTTTGTCTGTAAATCCAAGTCTGAGGGAAGAATTCTACAAACTGTGGAGTTCCACCTCTAGTGAGTGAGGAATTCCAGGGGTAACATGATCCTACTGGAAAAAGTTCTGCTAAGGAGAGTTAGTGCCACCTGCAGTGATACTGCTCCAGAGTTGCACACGGTGGCATGTGTTGGTTGTGAATGTCCTTGTTAAAACCATCCAGCTTTGTGGGTATTTGAAAGGTAGAGCTTGTTACCCAAGTTACTGGGGAACTTACTCTGCATGTTTGTTTGTTTGTTTGTTTTTAAATAGATGGTGAAGAAGGTCAAGACCATGGCAAAGAAAGCTCAGAAGAAGATGAATCGCCTGGGTCGGAAAGGAGAGGCAGACAGACACATATTTGACTTGAAGCCAAAACATCTGCTGGCTGGAAAGAGAAAATCTGGTAAAACACAGAGAAGATAAGCAGTCTTGTGAGTCAAAATTAAAAACTAAGTTTATTAAAACTAATTTCTAGTCCTGTCTTCCTTCTAATAGAAAGTGTTTAAGAAGCGTGTAGTTTGTGTTAGTGGTTAAGATAATTCAAGCTGAAAGTTCTAATACCTTGATCTTGCAGTTCTTTTAAGCAATACCATGAGAAATTTCTCAATACCAGTGGCAGAAACCCATTTCTGAACAGACATAAAAGTTACTTTGTGTCATTTTCTTATTCCTGGCTTTGATGTATCAGTAAAGCATTTAGATTTCTACATAAAACTAATTTAGAATGAAGTTAAACCTAAAAATGTGAACTACCTGTTAAAATACTATCAAAATTAAAAATGCCCAGCTTCACTAAGGTTTAGGTTTCTGTGTGCAAGTGATTCTTAAATGTAGAGAATGTGATGAGTTTATGTTGCAGGTGAAGGCTGAAATTGGTGGGGAAGTAATAGGGGACTTAACAAGGACTGCACAAGGTTGGTGTTGGAGCACTGAACCAGTTTTGAATGCAGGGGAGAAATGCTGCCAGTTTACTAAGCTTAATTGTGACTGAAACTGGAGGAGAAATTGCAGTTTTAGTACTGACCTGCCATCTGTAATAATAGCATGGGCAGGGAAGGTTACACCTTAAAACTGTTAATTTTTCAGTATAATATTAACATTTCAGATATGCAGAGAATGAGGGTCAGACTGACTTTTGGTCCTGAGTGCATGTGAGTTATGCTGCTGTCACCCTCTGCCTAGGAAGACAATTTCTCTTCAGGAGCTGATAGACAAAAATTCCATACCTGTTCAAGGCAAAAGATATTGTCAAATGTGAAATATTTCCTTTTTGTCCCTACTTGGTCAATAGTTACCCAGAGGTTAGTAAAATTATGCATTCTAAATGTGTTGCCTGAACAGTACGCTTAAAATGCATGTTGAAAACTAACACCTGTAAAAAGTAAGGGGGGAAACCCTTAAATTTATTTATTATTTTTAAATACAATAAGTAAGAAGAGTGTTCAGATGTCAGCTTTAGCATACTGGAGCTTCGTGTGTAAATCCATATTGTTTCCCTCATCTACCTTGTGTAATAATTTTGGTATTAAAACACATTGTAATTCTGCAAAGATGTTCATTGTCGACAAAAGCTTTGATAACAGAACTTCTAAGGGATGTTGAGGAACTGTTTGGCAAAACTTTTCTTTCACCTGCCTTATGCACAGTATTTCCACTTCTGGATATGCTTTGCCAGCTTTTGCTCCAAGCTGGCCCTTTGAACTAGAAAAGCAGAACTTTGTTCTAATACATCTGTGCCCTGCTGCCCACATTGTGCTGCTTCAGTAGTGTAAAAGGGGCAGGATGGTGTTTATAGTGTAGTGATGACAGAGATTATTCTCATGTGGCTTCATGTCTGAAAAAAAAACAACAGTCCAAGGTTTTAGGTTAGGTATTTTAATCATAATCTTTAAGACAATCCTAGATTTAAAAAGTATTTGAAAAGTACTGTAATTACCTACAGCTGGGCAATGCAGTTGATTGCAGTGAAGTGGAGGGAGCTGCTACATCACATCATTGTTCCCTCACCCACTATTATTTACTTCAAGACAATACATCAATTCTGGCCAATATACAACAATATTGGCTCTAAAACCTCTAAGTGTTGAACCACTGGAGATGCTGGTGTGGAGAAGCTTCAGTGCTGCAGTCACAATGGGGATAAGAAAGAGAAACCTTGACCACTGGAAAAAGTTAATTTCACCCTTAAACCAGACACAACCAGTTACAAATGTTTTCCATGCAATGAGAAGTGGAATGACAAACATCCTCTTTCATTAAGACACCTCTAGGAAAAGTTGGCTTAAGAAATCTAGTCTGAGTAGTGTGATAACAGAAGAAATAACAATTAAGCTTTTTTAGAGGAAAAAAACAACCCCAAAATCTAATTCAAACTGAGAGACTTGAGTATTTGTCTTATCAAAAAACAGCTTCCATTTTACTCTTGTTACTAGCCACTGACTGCAAGATCAAAAAGGATTACCTCCAGTACAATTTCTAACTAACTGTACTGCAAGACTCAGTGTAAGCCCACAAATTGTCAGTCTTGAATTTTGGAGTTCAGTGGGTTTGAGTAGTCTGGGAATGATTATTACAGATGTTTCAGGAAAAAAAATTTTTTTCAAGATGACTTTGTTTTCTGGAAAATGGAGAAGAGCCATTTAGTGCATATCCCATCTCCAAAGACAGGCTACTTCCTGTATTAGACAGGTACCATTTACATTTGGCATAATTAACCCTTTTTGTTATGTAAGAGATGTCCAGTACTCAGACTTCAAATAACCAGAAAAGGGTGTCAGGGTGAAAACCCCAACCAGACCACCCACTGTTTGTTATCTGAAGCTTTGACACACAACTCAGCATTCCAAAGTGAAACTCACTCCACCCTGACAACCCAATTACTTAAGCTTTTATGTGTTTGGTTAATTATAGAGTATGGTAGCTGAAGAATTTGCTTTCTGCAATTAAAATAATCCTGATTACTTTGCACTAATTGTTTTTTTCTTCAGGCAACTCGTCTTCCCAACACCAGTGCAGAACCAAATTCCTGTGTAATCATTTAAGGCATACTCGTGTTCAGTGGGAACGTACCAGCCCTCCCAGCTGAGCCAGGCTCCCTCCCCAGGTGTGCAGGGCACACACAGGGTGAGGATCTTTCACCAGGCCATGGGGAAAGAGGAACCCAGGGGTTTCATGCCATTGATACCCATTTTACATTAGATCAAGGTAATTTGCACAAGAGAACAAGGATGAGGGGGCAGAGGAGGTGATGAAAGCAGAATTAAAAACGCTGGCTATAACAACCTCTATACCAAGATACTAAACATACTCCAGGTAGACCAATTCTCTGCACCCAAGTCATGATTTACCACAGTGTCAATGAGACAGCACATCATTGCTGGCCTTCAGCACCTTTTACCCCAGCTATTTACATTCGGTGTATTTTTTCATGCTCAACAAATTTGTTCAAATTACTTAAGTTATCCCACCACTTGAACAGAAAGGTCTCTGCTATGAGCTTAAACCACGGAGTGATCTTCACTTCATTCTTGGCAGCTTTGTCCAGGAGCTGTTTCAGTTCTTTCTGTGTCACATAGCAGTAGCTTTGGATCTCATTAGGGTCGGGATTCAGTGTCACATCCTTCTGTACAAATAAGATATAGTCTATCTCATGTTCTCCCCAGATCCCATCAGACTTGGCCTTGTAGTGAATTCGTGTCAGGTAGGAGATTTCTTCTGGAGTTACCTACAACCAAAACGCTTGTCAGAACCGGTGCCAGACCAGAACAATTGCCCTGCTGGGCACTGCAATACTATTATCAGCCATCATCCTGTTCCTCAGAAGTTATTTTCTCCCAAGTGTACAACTGCAATGTACTTCTTCACAAGTTACTATGAAAAAAACTTTTAAAGCACTTTGATGGCATGAGTGGCACAGCATTTCTCTAGTCAGACTTGCCCTGTAGTATTTTCAGTGTATTTCTCCTACACAGCAAATTTTAAGTAATGTTTACCAGACCTTACCACACGCTTACTGAGCACAAACAGTTGCACCTACCCCTCACCTCCCAGGAAAAGGGCCTGGCAACTACTTGAAGCCAAGGTCAGAGCTGTGTAACCCTGAGCTCCAGGGAATCCCTGTGAATTGCACACTGGGTGGTGAATTCTGGGCACCACCTCACCACCATATTTCCCAGGAGCACTGGGAGCTGCTGCTCTGTGTCCCATGGCAGAAATGTAATTTACGTGTAATTAATGTGGAAAGAGATTTCAACTCAGAGCATAATTCAGTCAGCTGCACCCTGCTCTCTGTGCACCCCCAAACTGCCTCCAGAAAGGAAGGTACCAGAAGTGGGCTGTGCAACTGCTCTGGGAGAAATACCGAGTGCTCAGGTCACCTGAATTCCCACAGGAAGCTCGGGATTGCAGAGGGCTTGTCTACAGGTGCTGGCAGCAGCAATGCCCTCCAGGAGCACCAGGTGTAGTGAGCACGTACAGCACTCACTCTGCCAACAGCAGCCAGTCACACATGGAGCAATGCAATCCTTCATTAGAGTGTGGTTTACTCTTTGGCTCATATTCAGTTTGAGCAGTGGAATACTCTAAAATACAACCTACTGGGATAAGCTTTTGAGAGTATGGAATATAGAAGACTCAAGTTCACTCAGTTCTCTACCCCTCCAAAGCTAAATGCATTTTTAGGTTTGAGGCTGACCCTGCCTGCCAGACACAGTTAGTCTGTAAACTGGTAAACGTTGACAAGAATTCCTGTTTTTCCCTCCTTCCTTTACCTGCTCCATGGGAATTCCTAACTCTGCTTTCAGTCGTCTCTGTGCTGCTCTCCGAACACCGATGGCATTATTTTCTTCCAGTTCTAGTGGATGGCTTAGAGGGTGGCTGCAACAGGTGTTGGTAAAACAATCTGCAAGAAGTTTGGATTGGTACATTTTGACATGTATAAAGCATCAGGAAAAAAAACAACACAACAACCAAACCCCCCAGAGGCCAGTTATTCAACACATCACATCTTTGTTTCGCTTTCCCAGAGAAGGGTCACAGAAGGTGGAGGATATTTTCACTTATTATTTTTCTTTACATATTTTGCACTGGGATTTGCCTCCACCAAGCACTGCTTTGCAGGTTAGTATGGATGCATGTGAAGACAGGCATTCTTATCCCCAAGACAACTTAGAGAGCCAGTTTATAAAGACCTTGTTTATCCCTCAAATGCTAATTAAAATTTACTTTTGGGAGTTTATATGCAACTGAATATTGAAAATATTCCCAGAGCTTCAAGACCAGCTGACAGTAAGTAGAATTAAATACAAAGTTTATACTTGTGTTTAAATGACAGCCCATCTATACTCTGTCTCAACCTTTTGTCTACAAAAATCAAGATCAAAAGCATCTAAAATAGAGTTAGAATATCTACAAATTATACTCAAGCATTTTGGGTTTAATTTTTTCCTTCACTGCTAACCAATCAATCTCTAAAGTAAAGATTCCCTTGGAAGGAAGAAAAAGGTCTTTCCTCCTCAAGTTGGAAATGCTTGAATTTGTTTTCCATTGAAAATTCTGCAACAGACAGCTTAATGCTCCCTCGGACACATCTCATGTAAGCTACTTTTCTTTCATTCCCCTTCTTATTTTTATGCCTCTCCATTTGCATTTGATAGTAATAGTTCAGGAGTTTTCAAAAATCATGCACTGTATAGTTTGGCCACGCAGTCTCACTTCTTGTGTAGTTAAATCACACTTCTTGTATAGTTAACTAAGTGTTTTTTGGGACATACACAGACAAAGGTCCACAGATTTCCCAGGCCCCAGGGCTCTGACATCAGCTTTTACAGTGGAATGGGACACTCTCCACAGATACCAGAGCCATTTCTTCAACTCCAGTAAATATGTCTTGCAGCAGAAGTGGTAAACAACACACCCTCTGCCCTTGCATCCACAGGATCAAACCTGTCAGGGAACAATCCTTTCCCAAGAATATAAATAACAATACCCTAGTGTTCCCATTATCTTACTTCATCCACAAGATAAGTACAACTTGAACTCTTAAAAGTACTGGAAGTATCTCCTCTCCAAAGCAGTAAATTCTAAAACCTCAGAATGAATTAAACTGCAGGATTAGATTGACATATTTTCTTTTAAATACTGATTTCAATAAAACATTTTGATAAATACATTTCATTACTAACCTGGAAATGTAATTTTTGCATTTGACCTCTGCTGCAGCAACAGTTTATTTTCTGTATTAAATAAGAAAACACTGAAAGCTCGGTGTAGTAAACCTAAAAGTAAAAAATAAAAAAATCCTGAGCTACTTAACAGAAAAGAAAAAAAACATATGAAGACACTTTAAAGGCTTAGAATGGCCTCATTTTTGGGTAACCCAATTTAAAATTAATACATGTTAAAAAACAAGGATTTGATAACTCAGAGCTATTATTCAGGTTTCTATGTCAGCTTACGCAAAACACTATGAAATTAGAAAAGTGTAAGGAATGACAATGCAACAGAAGAGTTCTACTCTACTCAGTTCACAATTCTGAATATGCACATTTGGGCAAGCTTCCAAGGAGGGCTCAGCATCCATAAATTTACTATCGAAAAGAGATGATTCAAAAATTCCTAAAAAACTATGGAATTTCAAGAACTGAAAAGGCACAAGGAAAACAGGCTCCCTTACAAACAGTATAAGTGCAGAATTGCTGTTTTCTTCACCTTTCAAGTTTATCATTCCTCACTCTCCAGGAAGATGTTTCCCCCAGCTTCATAAAAGGAGGTCACACCTTGAATCTATGAGAGATTCATGAATGTGACCAACCCTCAAATAAACTCACAATCAGTTAAACCCCTTGTTATCATCAGTATTTGAAGTAGAACTCGGTGTGAACTACTTCAAAATCAAAGCCTCTACTTGTAAAGAACTCAGCAAAGAAGCAAGTGGCATTCTTCAGAAAAAACTACAAAGAATCAGGTGTCTATAATAGGAAAAAAATACTATTTCATCTTCAAAATGTGATTCAAAAGTATTTATCAAGACACAAAGCTTGTATCTGCAATCACACATTTCTCTCCTTTGCAACTGCTGCCAATTCAGTGTTCCTCATATCACAGAATTTTAACATTAGATGTTGTTCGCTGGGGAGGAGGAGCTGTGGGGAAGCACTTGCTCTGGTTTGATCCAACACTCACCTGAGATTAAGGCTTCAATTTAATCATGACTATATTTCTGAAAATATCCAGTCAACTTAATGGTTCAGTTAGAAGGTAAGTAAGCTGTACCTTTATCAATGTTTTCATTCAAGTGACAGTTTTTCTTGGTGTCTGCTCCAATCCTTTTGTCATTTTCATCGATAAGGATGCACATCTCTGCCAAGAGCTGCACCTGCTGCTCATCCAGGTGGTCTGTGTTTACTTCAGGCATGGTGATGGTAGCACAGGTCCTACTGAAAACAAGCAGTGAGTAGTCATTCAGGAATAACAACATCTGCAAGGCTGTGGGCAGACTGTGAGAAATAATCAAATGACTCAGTTTTCTGACATGGTGTAAACTGTGCACCAATTGTATTTTGGGGGGTTTACATGCTTTTAGGTTCCTGAAATTTCCTGCCCACGACACGAATCACACAGCACACCCCTAAGGGTTCAGGAACGAGATTTCCTTGACCAGGACACGCAGCCCAAGGCACCTCAAAAGCAACCCCCGCCCTGCTCCGAGCCTCTGCCGCCGTGCGTGCTCCCTCAGCTCAGCCACAGATGGGTCAGGCTGGAAGGGACCACGGCGGGTGATCCGGTCCCTGCCTAAGCGGGGTCGTCCCAGAGCAGATGGCACAGGATTTGTCCAAACGGTCCTGGGATATCTCCAGTGAGGGAGACTCCATACCCTCTCTGGGCAACCTGTTCCAGAGCTCGGTCACCGCACAGTGACACAGTAAAGAAGTTCCTCCGCATGGCCTTCCTGTGCATCAGTTTCTGCCCGTTGCCTCTCGTCCTACTGCTCGGCACCATGGAGAAGAGCCTGGTCTAAAGGCACCCCCCCTTCAGACGTTTATACACATTGATAAGGTCCCCTCTCAGGCGTCTCCTCTCGAGGCTGAACAGGCCCAGCTCCCTCAGCCTTTCCTCGCAAGAGAGAGATGCTGCAGTGCCTTCATCACCCTCGCTGCCCTCCGCCGACCCACTCCAGCAGCTCCACGTCCCTTTGGTACTGAGGAGCCTAGAACTGGACACAGCGCTCCAGACGCGCCTCACCAGGGCTGAGGAGAGGAGCAGGATCGACGCCCTCGGCCCCCTCTGCCCCTCTGGCAGTCCCGTTTCCGCGCAGTCCCCGCTCACCTCCGTGCCCGCCCCGGCGGTACCTCAGAGCCCCTCAGTCCCCTCGCGCCGCGGTAACTCCGCAAAGCCCCGCACCCGACCCCGCGCAGCGCGCGCCACATGGCGCGGCCCGCCGCCTCGGCCAATGGCGGCACCGCCCGGCGCTGACGTCACCATATCGCCCGATCGCCCCACTGCGGCGCGGGGGGCGGGACCAGCAGTGACAGCGAGGAGTGGCGGCGGGAGCAGCCAATCGCAGCACGGCCTCGCAGGAGCGCTGGCCAATAGAGAGAGAGAGTAGCGGCGGGGCGGCCAATGGGAGCGGGGCGGCCGCGTCGGGCCGTGCCCGGCAGGGCGGGAGGGGCGTTCTGAGGTGGCGCCTGACACAGGGGGACCGGGGTCGGGATAGGGAACGGGAATGAGAAGGGGATCGGGATTGGGCTCCATTACCAGGGAGAAGCCTTCAGCTTCTCCTAGTAGCCAGGGATCACTGAATTCATGGCTAGGCTTCGCGAACGAAGATTTGGGAAGATCTCTACCCGCATTTGCTACAAGCGCGCTGGTGGCTAAAGAGGCAGGAAAAGACCTCTGAGATCATCTAGTCCAGCCTATGACCCAACATCACCCTGCCGGTCAACCGGACCATGGCACCTAGTGCTACGTCGAGTCTTCCCTTAAACACCTCCAGGGACCTCCTTGGGCATCCCATTCCAGTGTCTGAAGCTTGACCCATTTCTAACATTGAGCGCTACCTGTTGCCTTTTCACTCATCCATGAAAACCAAAGGACCACTCCGAAGTGCCGGTCCTACAGATGTTTGTTCAATTTCTGTTCAGCTCTGGGAGTGTTTCAAGAAGCAGCCATAAGCACGAGTCTGTAGAGTCACAGGGTGTTTTGGCACATCTAGTCTTGGATGCTTTTCTTTGCTCCACAGCAGCATCCCTTGAGCCAAAGATTCATGTGTGTCATACAGCTCAGAGCCTGTGGCACTCAGAGTGGGGCAGTACAGGCCACTTGTCCCCCCTCCTGCAGTGAGAACTACAGCTTGTGGAAAACAGTTCCTGTGCTAGTCAAGCTCTGAAACTGCCTGACTCATCGAGTTCTTGAGGGGCAGAGAAAGAAACACCCAGTTTCTTTGAAGGAATGGAGCGTAGGCCAGACGTCAAGATGAACTGGTCAGATAGGGGACTTATAGATATGCACAGATAGAGGCAGAGAAACTTCAATAGCAGCCTCTAGAAACTTCACGCCACCACAGCTGAGTACCTTCTCAGCAAGACTTTTACTGCAAGACTTTTACTTTATTGCCTGTCCACATATTTGGATTTATAATTAGATTCCATAAAATGCCTAGAAGTGACATTTCACATGCCTTGGGGGCATGGCTCTTTCTGATTGTCTCTCAGCTCAAGTTCCAGTATTTCCATCTGGTTGGTTTGATTTTTCCTGTGAACAGGACAGATGGCCTATCATTTAGAGATACCATTATCAGCACAAAATGTTCAAATGGACAGTTAATATTTTACAAGGGTGGTATCTTAGTGTTTCCCTGTGCAGAGGGAGGAGTGTGGAAGTGGTTTAAGTGGAAGCCACTTGAAACCAGCAGAGCATCAAAAGTAGAAGAAAAAAAAAAGAATAAGAATGGCCAAGCTGCTGCATTTCCCTTAAACTACCCAAAATATAACATCAGAACATTAGTATAAATTAACAATATTACAAATCTAATGTTATCACAAGAACATTAACATAAATATGTACTCTCACAAAGGACTGGAATGTACACAGATTACTTTTTATTGACTTTACTTATCATTACTTTACAGATTACTTATTGCTGAGTCACTGTTTGGCACGAAAACACAGTACCTGGAGACTGAGCTTTGTAGAAATAAAGAGAATATCCTTTACCACATCAATCAGTTGCTCATTTGATCGTTCCAGATTAAAAAAATCTGTAATTTTTTCTTCTATGATTTTCCTAATGTAACCAAACAAGCTACACAAATCCATCAAAAATATAACTACTGAGATGGACATACAAACCAGCATTTCATAGAGAGACAACAGAGTTAACAAGCAGCTCTCCTGCAAGTAAAGCTCTTTTGGAGTAGTTACTTCTACCCTGAAAGGCAGAGGTGGGTCTGTACATGAGGCAAAATGGATGTGTGACACACACCAATGAGCAGGTGTACACAGTGATGTTCAGGCTACACAGCAGAGGGAAATATATAAAAAAGTCCTTATAGATAATGGAGAAAAGAAAAGAGATTCTTATTTTCCTAGTAATAGCTATTGAGAACTTCTATACAGGCACTTTAGAACCTGACAGTCAGAAACAACTACAGTTTCTGTCTTGCCCAGACAAACAAAGCACTTCACCTGCAGCAAGGCTGGTGAGCACCAAGTGACAAATCCTGGATAATGAGAGGCAAAGAAGGAGGCACAAAGGATGACAGAGACAAACCCAAACATTTTCACAAAACAAACAAGGGAGAGACCTCCCAAGCCTTTAAGCTAAGACACTTTCAGGATCAGGTGTTTTATGTCACCTGTCTCATCTTTCATCTCGCTCCCCTCCAGACTTGCTCTGTACTTTCAAAGCTCTTTGTGTTGAAAATAAAGCATCCTAATTTCTGTAGTGGTATGCACCTCACTGAAACCTCAGAACTTTTACTCCACACCGCATAAACAGAAGAGTGCCTGAAGTGACATATAAATGCCTTTGAGACTTAATTTATGCATCTCCTGAAGTCTGCTGACTATTTTCAAACACTACAAACAAGAGGAAAACTGCTTCCTGTCACCACTGGGAAGACTTTAATTTCACCTGAAAATCCAACCAGCTGCAAATCAGTGACAGACTTTTGCTGTCTACGAAGATAAAGGGAAATGCAACCTCCATCAAACTGGAGGAGAACATTTTAGTTCTCCTGCAAGTTAAACAAGAAGATGGTGAACCACAGGACGAAGTAAATTCTGAACAAACCTGGTATTTGACCCCTGCCTAGAATGCATAGACTCCTGAAACATGCTTGTCCTCGGTTTTCAGATTTGCCTAGGAATATTAAGGGCTTTTTCCCATACTTCATGTCCAACCTTCTTCTTTTTCATCTTCCTGTTCACTTGCTCTGATATTTAAGACTTGCAGTTCACCCATCTCAGCTATAGAGCTATCCTTTTTCCTAGTCTCCCTGGAGAATTCCTCTCGGAAGTCTGCTCCTGCCTCGGAGTCATAGCTCTCCAGAAAATATTTGTCTAAGTGATCCACTTAGGTGGAGAGCAAACAACAACCTGAGTTTTATCTAAAATGGGAGGTAAATACCTCCCATTCTTAACTAATCTGCTGTTGTTCACTTGAATCTGCTCTCTTAAATGGCCTGGTTCAGGGAAGAGGGTTGGCTTCAGCTTGCTCCAGAGAAGACAGATGGCTTTGTAGTAAAAATGTAATACGTGTATGCTAAATACATAAGTAGGATGTTGTATTTGCATTTAGGTTTGCTATCTCAAGTGTGATGGAAAGAGTGCTTTGATGGACAGCTTCCAAATGTTTTTGTACAGCATAAGGTGAATGAATAACGATATAGGAAATGGCTCGTTTAGGAAGGAGTTATTAGAAGCAATCCTATAGGAAGAAGTAATGCTTGACCTCTTAAATCTTTTTGTTTGTTTGTTTTTCTTACTTTTGGTTTGAACTCTTGATAGGAGGATTTGTTTTTTCCTGCTACTTTTACAGCTTTGGAAAATGTTAATTTGGGAGATTCAGCTGTTATTCAGAAGTAGGTCTGGAAGGTGATGTCCAGGACAACCTAACTTTTCTCACTCAACTTATTACAAGACTTATTTCGAAGGCTTCTTATCTGTTGAAGAGATGCTGACTGGTACTGCCCCTCCCGTTTCCCCAGGCTCCTGTATTCCTATCTTTGTCTCTTTTTTTAAAAACAGGTAATTTGTGAAAAGTAGTCTTTTGTTCTGCTCTTTCTCCTGTACATTACACAGTGCTTGCTACTCTTGCACTGCCACAACAAAACCAAACCAGTAGTAGAGCTGGAGTGACAACAGGCCACTCCTTGTTCTTTTCTCATTGAAAAAGCAAAGGCATCTGTACAGATGTAGGATACTTCCAGGCTATTTGGGATTTCCTGTTAATTTTCAGGTGAAGCACTCTCTGCCAAGGATAAAGTTATTTAAACCCCTGTCTTTGTTTATTTTAGTATTTTACATTTCTTCGGGAAAAAAATGGTCATCTCTGTATTATGCCCAGCTGCTAGAGAGAGAGCTGCTCCAGAGGACAACAAATTTGCCAGATGTTTTCCCAGGGAAATCTCAAACATGGGTCTTTGTGCTCTCACTGGACAGTTTTTTCCTTCACAGTTACAGCTAAAGCTGTTATGGTACAGTAGTGTTATATTAGGGGCAAAGTAATTTTAGTAGGGATAATAAGGCTTGAAAAATATTTAGTTAGGAACTGAACAGCTGAGGACTTGAGTTGTGCCTTGGCTGAGATGGCTGAGCCACTGCAACTGCACCATCTGGGGAAAGAATTCAAAGCATCAAACGGTGGCATTTGGTCAGGCTGTGTTCAGGCTTCCTCCAGGCAACTCTGTTCTACCTCTTGTCCCTTTTCTTTTGCCTGTTCAGTCTCCCTTCTTTTCCACTCCTTAAAGCCATTTAGCTATTCATTTTGCTCCCTTTTGGTGGCTTTGAAGAAGCGAATAGGATACAATTATGGGAAGTGCTCAACCAGTTAGGCTGGTTATCTTGGAGAATGACCTCCAGTAATGAAAAATAAGCTAGTAAATAGGTAAATCACTATTTTTGTCGGTGTTTAATACAGCTTTAATTAAGACATGACTGCACAGAAGTGGATAGAAAGGAAAAAGAAGACAAAAAAGAACTGCTGGCAGACTTGTAGCTGGGAAGCACATGAAAAGAAAATTTAATATTTCCAGCCCTCACTGAGGCACATGTTCTTCTGGCCTTTTCACAGACCTCTTCTGAGGCAGCTAGATAATCTGCAGGAAGAGGGAAAATAATTAGGCAAAGGCCTCTTTTGACTTTCACTATCTGCTACGTTGAATAAGAATTTTAGGTGAAGGTTTTTTCTAAGTGTTAATCAGCAGAGGAATTAATCACATTTCAATTATGCGTTGTAGGCTTCAGAGCGAACAGCCTACTTGCAAATCATGGCTAGCTTTGATACACTGCTTCTGTCGTACCGTCTGCAGACACAGTAAAGACCAAAAGCAGTATTTCCCAGCCATTTTCTATTAAAAAATATGGAATTCCAGTGGTGTTTCACGGAAGTTTCACCCCCCAGTGTTACTGGATATACTAAAACAGTGTTAACAGTAAACAGTAAATCACAGAATCAACTAGGTTGGAAAAGACCGCTGAGATCATCAAGTCTAACCTATGAACCAACACCACCTTGTCAACTAGACCATGACACTGAGTGCCACATCCAGCCTCTTCTTAAACACCTCCAGGGACGGTGACTCCACTACCTCCCTGGGCAGCCCATTCCAATGTCTGAGCACCCCTTCTGTAGAGAAATTCTTCCGAATATCCAACCTGAACCTCCCCTGGCGCAGCTTAATACCGTGCTCTCTTGCCCTGTCGCTGGTTGCCTGGGAGAAGAGACCGACCCCCACCTGGCTACACCCTCCTTTCAGGGAGTTGTAGAGCGTAACACAGCGTTACCCCCGAGAGGCGACAGTCGGGATGAAACACAACTGAGCTGTTTAAACACCAGCACTGAGCTGACCCCGGGCTGACCTGGGTCAGCGGGGATGAGCCGCGGGGCGGCGGCGGGGCAGCTCCTGCCCGCTGCCATTCCCGATCCCGCGGGCTGCTCCCCCAGCGGGTGGCTCTCCCGGGCCCAGTGCCATTCCCTATCCCGAGAGGCTCCCCCGCTCCCTGCCCGTCGCCATCGCGGCCCGGAGCGGGGGCCGCGCCGCTTCCGCCGGATGTCGCCTTGAGGGCTCCGCACCGGGGAGGCGCGTCCTGCCCGAGCGGCGTCGGGATCGTTGCTGTTGCTGCTGCTACCGCTGCACCTCCCGCCCTTCTCCTCCTCCTCGCCGTCCTCATCCTCCCCCTCCTCCTGCTCCGCGCCGCCCGCGGCCCTGCCCCTCCGCGCCCGCCGTGTCTGACCCGGCCGTGTCTGACAGGTGAGTGCGGGGGCAGCGGGGCGCGGACCCTCCGCCATCTTCGCGGCCGCCCGAGGCGCCGAGGGGGCGCGGGGGTCCGGGCGCGGTCCGGGGGCAGCGGCGGTGCCTCCCCGGCGGTACCTGCGCGGTGCCGCTGCCACCGCCCAGGCCCGCGGGGCTCCCCCCGCCGAGCACCCCCTGCCAGCCCGCCCCGCTCCGCTTCGGTTCCACGTGAAATGGCTCGCACTGTATTCCTTGAACACCGAAATAACCGAAAACGAGCCCTTCCTCTTCTGCTCCCGGGTGTCGGGGTGTTTTAGCGCTCCCAGCCCAAGGCTGTAGGGATGGTTCCAGGTCTGCGGACGGCGGAGCCGAGGGTGGTGCTGAGGAGACTCGGCTCGCTAACTTTGTTCGTGTGCTGCTGCATATCCTAAGGACAAGCCCAGCGTAGTGCCTCGTTATCTTACAGATTGAGTTCAGAGCATCTGACACGTACAGATGGAGTAAAGATGAAACGCCCAAATTCCCTGAAGTGGGGCACAGCTGAATGAGGAAGGGAAGCACCGTTTGTGGTGGGATGGGGTGGATCTGGCCTCCAGCAGTGGGAGAATGACCTAGCACTGTCCAAGATGGGTAAAAGTTGTCTGTAAAGAGCCATTTTCAGTATTTCTTTCTTTTTCTCAGCTAAGACCTATGAAAACAAGTTTGAGGGAAGAATTGATATGCTTAATGTATTCAAAGCTTGAGTAGAGGTTAGGTTCCAGTTCCTTATGCAAAGACGAGGAAAACTTTTTCAAGTTAAGTGTTGATCTGTGATTCAAGGACATCTTGGTGTTTTTAAGAAAAGAGAAACTTCTACATGTGTTTTTATCCCTCTTGGTACATCTTCCAGCTTGTCAAATTTGTTTTGTTTTTGTGGCTTAAAGTGGGCTTTCTGTAACAGTAATTTCATGGAAGGTTTACTTAAAGAACTGGTGGAACAGCTTCTTTGAAGTGATTCAGTGTCATTGAGTACACCTTGAAATTATACAAATGTCAATTGTTCAGGCATTTTACAACATCACAGCAATATTTTCTCCTTAAGCAAATTTCTGAAACTGTTTTCCAAGCAAGCTTGCTGTTGGGGTTTCTTGATGGTTTTGAAAACGAGTTGGTAACCCCAAGAACCCACAAGTATGTTTTCTAATGAGTAGTTTGGCTTAGATAAGATCTTTGTGCGTGGTGTCAACTCTAACCTGTCTGGTAATAACTTTAAATGTAGCTTTATGTATTGTGGACTTGGGCAATTATTTTATGAAAAGGTGCCTGCACCAAACATTATAATTTAAGGCAGAGGCCACAAACATGTTGTTTGTTTTTTAATGCCAGTTGTTTATGTGTACGTTTGTCCCTAAATTAGGTTTATCATGTTAAATCTAAAGATTCTAAGATGAGACTGTCTCTTCAATGTAGACAGGCCCTTCCACCATCTATTTCTTAAATTTAGGATTTGTTTAAAGGATGCAGTCTTTAGTAGGGACTGAGACACTTAAATTTATTGGTACAGTCATGAGATAAATACTCATGAGTGTGGTGATAATGTCTTACAAGAAGAGCTTATTTTTATGAAATCCTGAAATTGCAAGCCAGAACTAGTGCATGCCAGGTAAGGAGTAATTAAGTGATATTGCATTTTATAAGTTCGAGGCGAGATTGGAATCATTTTATGTCATGGAATTTTAAGTCTTGGAGCTAAGACTAGTAGCTTATCTTGTGAGGTGAAGGCCAGGGTGAGGGGCTTCTTCTGGAGACTACCTTTTCACACCTCTCTGGGGAGAGTTTATTGGTACTCTCTGCCTGACCGCTGAGGAATGGATAAGAATAAGGATGGTCTCCTTGCAAGCGAGAGTGATTTGTGTTTTCTCATCCCCAAGTAATACACACAGGCTATTTTTAGGCTGTCTCAGTGTTTCAAGAGGGTAGGACTGGGTACTCACAATGCTGTCACACAGACTGTTGGAAGGTTCTGTAGTTCTCTGTGCTAGGCCATATGAGGTAATGCTTCAAGAATGTGCTGTACAGAGATTATTTATTGGTGCTTCAGAACAGCTAAATGTGTTATAGTTAAAGTTACTTGGCTTTTGTTGAAGTCTTAAGCACTATAAGATTCTAATTTACTGGCAAGTAATATATTCCCAAATGAAGAGCAAAGATATTAGAGGTCACTCTGCCTCAATAAAACTATAATAGCAATTTATCTGGTACATCTCTAATAAGTACATAAATATTGAGTGTTTAGAGACTAGCACAATAAGATTCTGGCCTCTGAGTGTAGTGCTGTGGTTCCTTAAATAAATACCTGGTTAAACCACCTTTCCTCTTGAACTTAAGTTTCCTCACCCTCAGGTCTTGTATTTGCATACCCGTGTATGCATGTAGGCTACTTCTAGGCTGTTGGGGATTTGGTAATACAGAAATGGGAGTTGAAATGGCTGTGAAACAGGTAAGGAAATAAAGTAGCCTTCAAACATAGTTTAGGATTTAACCAGTAATTTAGCAGGATGTGATGCTGTCTGTTGAACTCTTCAATAAAGTCAGTGAGTCAATACCTATAAATAAAAAAGGCAGGATATGTACTCATAGGTAACTAATTAGTGTTGAATAAGATTATATCATACCCTGTACCATTTAAAGTATTTGAAACAGTGAGCATCCTCAGTGAGCATCATGGCACAGGTCTCAAAGGGAAGCTTTCAGGACATCAGCAATTTCACTGAATAGGTCTTAGTCTGATGATAATTAGTGGACTCAGGAAAATTTTTTCTGTATTCTAAAAAAAAGAAATAAAAAATGCAAGTTTGATAGTTATAGTTGTCTAATACTAGTTAATATAAGCTTGTATGGTGAGAGTACCATTTCTTGCTTTAGTTGACTGTATGGCAGGCTAGGTCTGCATTTTGGTGTGATTGCAGCATTTGCTGACACAGTTGAATTAGCAAGATCAAAGCTTGCTGGCAGCAAAACTGGGCTGGCTTACATGTTGATGTTGGTGTTAGAAGCTTGCTTAGGGTAGTTACTTACTAATGTGTTAAAGCTTTTATTGTTGATTTCAGCTGTATAAAGTACTTACAATTCATTGGTTCAGCTTCTTTACTCTGTTTTCTATTGAAAGGAGGTTGTCATCTTCAGTGGTGGATGTTTGCTTTCCCCTTTTACATTTCGAGGAACCTCCAGTTTCACTTGAAAGAATGCTGCACTAAATTTAGAAAAAAAATCAATAATGTAATGCTTGAGTGGATTCCACAAGGTTTGAGTACACTCATTAGTGGTTCCAGTATCATCTGTGATGATCTGGAATGGTTTTGTTTCCTAAATATTTACCTTTAGCCAAACAACTAGTTTTACAAAGCAGTCTGTTTAGCTTGGTTTTTCTCAGGTGTGCTGTATTCTTGGGGATTGCATTGAATTAATGGCACTTGAATATGCAGCATCACTGAAGGAAATTGTTCACCGAAGACCACAAAATGGAAGTTTTACTCCTTTAAATTTGATTTCTTTGCATATTAATAAAGATTGTAGTGGCGTATGTTGATACTTAAATTCCCTTAACTCATGAATAATGCTGTCAAACTGAGTTACATGCAATTAGGAACTTAATAACTGTAATCATTCTCCTCTTTCTCCTTTCTCTCCCCGCTTTCTGGAAAAAACCCCAAACCAACCACCATGCCCGATGTTAATGGGGATCTTTGTATCATAAGGTTTTAATGCTGCACTAGACAATAATTACTATTGCAAAAATGCCTTTGTGTTTTATGTAGTAAACAGTGACATTTTCTTCTAAGCCATGTTTGAAAATGAGAGACATAGGACTAAGAGATTTTAAAGCACACAGATACAATAAAATTGTATGTTTGTTTTTTTTTTTAAATTTTGACACGATCGTTTAAATAGTAAGTATTACTATTTCTAAACTCTAAACAAAATGGAGTAGGGAGATCTAGGGTAAGATGTTGCTGAAACTTCCTGATGCTTTCCCTTTACAGACTTGTGTGTTGTCTTGAATGAACAAAAAAGGAAATGCAATGCTGTGGCTGTTATGTCTGTGCTCTGACACATCTTAAAACATATTTTCTCCCTGGCTTCAGCAACATGCATACCCCAGGAATTCTTTCCTTTCAGCAGTTTTCCTGTTCTGTGTTCAAGAGCAGAAGTAAGCAAGTAGAATTAGTTGATTCCTGCAGTAAATTTTTAAGTCTGGTAAGGCCAGTGTGTGCACTTTTCGTTAGTGCCGTTTCTCTGTTGTAGCTGACTAAAACAGTAATTGGATACACATCTGCTCTTAGCTGTTGTTACTCTGAAGTATTTCCTGTGACTGAATACATGGTAACATCTGTTACAGAAAGGTAGGTGGCGGAACTTTAATTTAACACACTGTAACATATCTTGTGAGTTTAATTGAAATGTTTGAAATACTGAAATATCTTTGCATTCAGCAAGTAGTAATCACCTGTGGTCTAGATGTTTTCCAGGACATCCTTTTTTCCCCTACTTGTGCTCATTGACTTTATCAGAAGGGTTCTCTCCAGACTTTGACAGATCATTGTGTGAGGAACACTATGCAAACGTAGCATTTTCCAAAATGATTGAGCAGAAGAGCTCAATATGTCTCATAAGCTCACTTTTTGATAATATAGTACTTGTGAACTTGTGAACTGCCACCCTTAATGAATATAGTTTAGCAATAGTGAACACTTCCTCCCTCCCCTTTTTATTTCTCAGAAAGTACTTTTGTTCAGCTTTTTTTACTCTTGATTGCTAATTTTTCGCTTTTGTGAATTCAGCTTCGTTCGATTCAGGAAAGAAGATTCCAACAGTTCTTGATGATTTTTCCGTCCTATTTGTAGTATTACTAAGTAGAAAAGGAAAGTGAATTTAGTGAAATTTTCTTCGCAGGACCCATTGGGAACGCTTAAAAGTCATGATTAACTACATCTGACATAATATACAATGAGTTGTTTTGAAGCACTTTTTTCTTATTTTGTTTGACTGAGATTTGGTGCTTAGACTTGAGCTGATGTTTTCCCTTGCCCCCCTTTCCTGTCATCTGGCTGTTCTAACTACAAAAGTTTAAAGAAATTGAAAGACTGTGACTGGTTTGTATACTACTGACTGTTTTACTAATCAATATTTAATATGGTTTTCATAGGATATGTAACATGACACTGATATTCTGGACAGGTAATTTTCATTGTTTGAAAACCTTACATAATAAGGGGAATCAGGTAATTGCTAGAAATGAGCACCTTATTTTTTTTAGCATCATATTGCCAAGGATCTGTTTTGTGAAATCTACTCATGAAAAACCTATAGCTTCTGACTGTTACAATTAGAGTCAAAATAGTTCCGAAATTGTCAAAGTGAAGTTAACATTTAAAGGGACACTGTCACTTTTTTTAAACTTACTTTACATCCTGGCTCTAAAAACCCTTAATTATTGCTCCCTTACCTAAAGTTTGTAAGGCTATTTGGTGGAATTCAGGACTATATTAAAGGTAGTGAAGCTGGTCCCCTTGGTGTCTCCTTCCCATCCTCTGTATGCACATGCTTGTGGCCTCTTTGGTTTCAGCTTTGCTGTGGCTGTGTGCACCCTCCTGCCGAGCCTGGGAACAGCGTGCATGCTTGCTCTCTCCAGAACGGTGCATGAGGGATGTGTCCTGCTGGTGCATGAGGAGAGGGCAGTCCCTGGCAGTGACACTGGCTGCAGGTGAAGTGCTGCTACCAAACAGAGACAGTGATGGAGGTGTGTCCTGCCTAAAACGTTCCGTTTGCTCACAAGCTGTGAAAGTACAAACTGTTGTGTAGTTAATGTGAGAATTTCACTATGTGAAGATGTAATCTTGTGCATTTGACTGTGTCCCTTTAAATTCTGTGTGCTAAAATGTATAGCTGCCAAATCTGTACGTGCTGATGTTGAGTGGCATAGTTCATTCCTTGAGGGAAGGGACACCACCCGGAGGGACCATGACAGGCTTGAGGAGTGGGCTGTGCGAGCATCACGAAGTTCAACAGGACCAAGAGCAAGGTCCTGCACCTTGGGCTGGGGCAATCCCCAATCTCAGTGTAGGCTGAAGGGTGAATGGGTAGAGAACAGTCCAGCAGAGAGGGACCTGGGGATACGGGGGCATGAAAAATGGGACATGATGCAGCAATGTGGGCTTGCAGCCCAGAAAGCCAGTCCTAGGCAAGTTCGTGGATCTGTTAGAACTGGTCCGGAGGAGAGCCACAAAAATTACCAGGGGGCTGGAATACCTTTCCTGTGAAGAAAAGCTAAGAGGGTTGGATTTTTTAGCCTGGAAAAGAGGATTTGCTGGGGAGACCTTATTGGAGTCTTTCAATACTTAAAGAGAGCTTCTAAGAAAGATGGAGAGAGACTTGTTACCAGGGCCTGTAGCGATAAAATAAGGGGTGATGGTAAATCTACTTAAAAGGACGTAGATTTACATTAAATATAAGGAAGAATTGTTTATGGTGAGAGTGGTGAAACATGGGCACAGGTTGCCCAGAGAGGTGGTGGATGCCCCATCCCTGGAAACATTCCAGATCAGGTTGAGCAACCTGATGCCAATGGAGATGTCCCTGCTTATTGCAGAGGAGTTGGACTGGATGGCCTTTAAAGGTTTCTTCCAACCCAAATAATTTTATGATTTTATGAAGCAATCCAGAAAAGGGTATTTCATGGTAAAATCCTTCAAAATGGAGTAGCTTGATAGAGAAGGCAAGTGGAAACTAACACAGTTAAAACAATGCCTGGTAAGGCATAACTCACATGAACATCTCTATGAATAATTGCAGTTCAGGAGCCATATCTGGCAGGGATTAGAAATAGGCTTTTTTTCCCCCCCAGATCCTAAGTAAAATGCTATTAATGGGTTTATGGGATTATGTGTAGTTATGTGTATGTATAGATATAAAACTCTTAACAAATGTCTGTGTGTGCACGCAGAATTTAGTGCTTTAGGCCTTAAAAAGTAATCTTGAACATTGCAGAAAATGATAACTGAAAGCTCTTGAAAAAGAGGTTCCCAAGGCAGATAGGAAGTAGGGTGGAAGAGGGGAGAATATACACGTGTTTGGGATCTGATCCTATTTTGAAAAGAAATAGAAATGTGATGAGCACTGAAAACCTGTTCCTAATTCTTGACCATATGTCCATGAACAGGAAGATACTTAGTGAAGCCCAGAAAATTGGCAGTAAATGTTTGCGGGATGAGCTTTTTTAACTTTGGTCCTATCTTTCTACAATAGAGGAGTCTAGCCACAGTGAATAAAGAAATCTAGGCAAATAAGAAACTGCCCGATGGTAGTTCTTTCTATTATTCTTTAATTTGTGAATAAAGCTAATTAGTTACTACTGATTAATCACACATAAAAAACTCTGATGGGATTAGGTGCAGTGGAGAACTGTGCAGTCCAGAGGAAAGGAACAAAATCATTTTAGTACAGTACAGGTCACTGGTGCAACCTGAATTTTATTTTAGATTCACTGTGGAATTAGTGTCAGGTTCCTGTAATTCAGGTGTTCCAAAAGCTAATTAAAATATCAAGCTTTTTAATGAGGATGGATGGGCATCAAAACCTTAACTAAATCTAGTCTCATTTTGATATAAATTTCTATATCTTCATACATCTTAATATAAATTTTTATATCTTCATGCATTTTCATTTTGTGATGTACAACCCAAAGGAGATTTCAAGCTGTTTTTATTCATGATGCATACTGTCTTTTTAGTAAGGTATGCTTTTCCTTGGCTTTATGATCTGTTAAAAAGCAGAAAATACCATGTCAAAACCCCAAACTGGTTAATGCCTGGTCTTGTTAATAGTGATGGTGCTCATTCCTAGCGTGTTGGTGGATCTTAAACTGGAACTGGCCCTGGGTTTGGTTTAAATTTTCTCTGATCAACTTATTTGAAGGGAAGCTCAGTTGCCTTGTTAGCTTTGCCAACTCTGCTCTCCTATTTCTCTGCAGGCTGTTGCACCTATTTTAAGTTGTAATTGTTGTTTCAGAAATCATTTATGCTGGAGAATGAATTTTTATTTTGTTCTCAGTTTGCATGATTGAAAAATTTTGAGTAATCAGTCCTAAAACATTTGGAATGTTTAACAACTGGTACCTCATGAAACAAAAATTAATTTCTGTTGAATGTCAGGTTTAAATTAAAAAAAATCCTGTAATTAAATGTTTGTAAAAAATAAGATTCTGACAATAAAGAACATATTCTCCACGTTTATGCAATAAATGAAACATAATTTGATTTTTCTTAAACAGGGGACAGCAGTAGATCATGCATGGTAATATTGATTGGTGATACTGTCAGATGTTTTTAGGGATAATAAAATGCATATATTTGGCTTTAACAAGATGACAAAAATGAGCCACATCAACAGCAACCTGTTAAGTCAGGTGCACTTTCACTGTTCTCATAAGTTCATGGGCACTTTCACTATCAAGAAAGTGAAACCGAGAGCTGCCAAAAATGGCAGAAAATAGTTTTCAGAACTTCCATATTGAAAATTAATTTTTGCTTATGAGTAAACAAGGACGTCTGTTAAATTGTGTATAGTAACACTTAATGTCGAATAATACATTTTTAACCTGACAGTGTCCCTAAATTACCATGTCTATTTGCTTTCATTTTCCAGCTGGGTTTTAATTTTGCATGCATTTCAGTGAACTCTAGTATGCATATTGATTGTTTCCTGGAAGCATTTTGGGGCTCTCTCTGCTGGTGTTCTCCAAAATGAGCAAGGAAGTGGAATTTTTTTTCCTTTTGTGGAGGTTTGTTAGCTAACAGATAAGCAATGCAGAAGTGATTCCACTGTATTTATGAGTCTGCATATGGTTTTTAACTTAATGTTGTTTGAAGAATAAATGTAAGTAAGAGGGATCTCTTATTTTTGATGACAACCCAAACAACTCAAAAGTTTAGTAGAACTAAATATTTCTATTTTGAGAACAAAAAATTTGAACTGTGGTTGGTTTGGCAGAGCACTTTGTGATGTGTAATACTTGTCCTTAGTTTATCATAGGAGCCTCTGTGAAGCTGTTTTTTTGAAGTAATGCCAATAGAAAGTGGAAGTTGTGCATCTGCTCGCCAAGCAAAGCAAAAACGTAAATCACACAGTCTTTCCATCCGGAGAACCAACAGTTCTGAGCAGGAACGGGCAGGACTGCAGAGAGACATGTTGGAAGGGCAGGTAAGGTGATGCTGCTTGGGCAACTTTGTAACTTTAATGTGTGTTTTCTTTAATGTGTGGGGAGAAAATAAACAAACTTAAGTAATTAAATAGGTCCAGTAAAGCTGCAGAAACAGCAGATTTTGTTGCTTATAAGTGCTCGCTGCTTTCGGAGACCATTGATGTGGATGTTGATGGTGTTTCAGGTTATGTTGAGATTGAACCTTTTTATGGGCTTGTGTGTATTCTTCCATGAATACACAGACCCATAAAGCAATACAAAGAAACAGCCTGTTTACTTCACTGCAACCTTCTGCGCCCCCCAAAAAAGGTTCAAGATTGTTTCTTGATTTCCTAAGTTTGAATTTGGAATAATATGAATAAACCAAAATAATTCTTATGGCGACTCTAATAGGAAAAATATTATTTGGAATGCTGTTCTGCATTCCTTTCCATAAAGCAAACAAACAGTGCCTGCTTGACAGAGGTGTGAGCTAACTCAGGTTTTTGTTTGGGTAGGGCTTTTTCTTTATTTATTTTTTATTTGTCTCAAATGAAGGTGTGCTCTTCTGTGTATTAAACTCAAGGGAAAGAACAGCACCCACTGCCTTCTGTAGCTTCTCTTAATCACGTCAGTCTATGTAGTGGGTGCAGTCTGGACTTGGAATGTTTCACCTAACAATTCTGAGATTAGATAAGGCTTCTGCCAGAAGGGTGTGAAGCAGTGATGGCAAAGATAAGCAAGTACCCCTTTGAAGACTATTTATTGTCAAGTTAACTACACAGCGTTAATGTGGGCCTGGTAAAGATGATGCAAAACTCTATCAGAGAGATGGTTTAAAACACTACTAGTGTTTGCTGTGAGAAACCTCACTCTGGAGTCTGCAGATCCTCTGAAGGGAAAATGGAGTGTCTTCTCAGTGACTCTTTTTAGTTGAATCTATTATTCAGTAAATCATAGCATTACTTTTCTGGGAACTAACAGAGCCCAAGTTGTTACTTCCAGTCATCTGGAGATTTGAGAATGCAAATACTTGGATAGAAAACTGTTCATGCATTTGGGACCTATGGCAACCTTACTTCAGGAAAGGAATGAATGGCAGCTGAGAGGTCAAGACATGCTGTCGCTTCTGCCTAGTACACTAAAATTTCAGGCTATTTTAGTATTTCTTAGGAAACTCTAAGTGATACATAAATGTTTTAAATGTTTTATCTGCCATCTTTAATTTCATTGACCTTGAACAACCAGTGGCAGATTCTAACAAGTAGAGTATTAATGCCCTTTCACAGTGGAGCTGTAAACTGCATGAGATCTAGCTAAGTGCTTTTGCAGATAAACAGATAACATTATTACATGCTATTTTAATAAGCTAATTTAAATAATGCCAACTTTAAAGAGAATAAAGGAAGTGGATGCATTTGACTATGCTGGTTATTTCATTACAAGTTTAGATTTGCTTATGCTTTCAGATTTTGAGAATAGGACTGTAAAACTTTTCTACATCTCCTTTTTGGTTTCCAAAGTTGTAGGATAAGTTAGTTTCTTTCATAACCTTGATGTATAAAATTATTGGGTTGTTGAATTAGAAACAATTCCTCTAACTTAAGTGTCTCTCTTAATAGCGTTTCATTTCTTTAGTATTTAAACAATTTTGTTTCAAGTTGGTTTTAATTTGGGTATGTTTTGTATTTTCATTGTCTATAAATGTGTGAACAAAAGTACCCTCTCAAAGGCGAGGCAGATGAAGATGCAGAAAGGAATGATCTGGGGGGGCATAAGGAGTGTGGTACCACTTCTTTCAGCCCAGTGCCACGGCTTAAACCAGCTGCAAAACTGGTGTGAAACTGAATTGTGCACAAAGCAAGTGTCTTCTGTGCCATGGCTGTTAGTGGTTTCTGCTCAGAAATAACTTATAAAATCGGGATCATGAAAGGCCTTTCTGGCTGTTCCTGAGGACAGTTACCTGGGCTATGGAGAAAGGCATGGGCGGGATGGAATTCTGGAGGGTCTGCTGCCGCTCTCTGGTGACTGGAATGCGCACGCATTCCAATTTACTCACATAGGATTGGAGCCAATTCCATTTGATTTGGAATTGCTGGAACATTGAAGAACAAAACAAGCTATAATCATCCTTGAGCTTGCATTGAATCTTGAAGCTCTCTTGAAATTGGGTGATTTCCTCTGCCAACACTGGTACTCCCATTCTAGTAATGCTGCTTCTGTACTTCTGGACTTAAAAGAGTAGTTTGGGCTGTGGCAGAAACTGACTCAGTTTTCTTTTTTTGCTCATAGCTGATGATTTCAAGAGTTTGAAATTACATACTTTTGCTCTCTAGCAAGTAGATGGGCACATTCCCTGCATATTTGATAGATGACCATTGGTATATTGATAATACATAATGCCCTATTGAATTCACTTTTAAATTCTTTAACTTACTTCCTTACACATGTATTTCTTGGTTTTTGAATACAGCTGTATTATTTACAGGTTTGTCCAGTAAAAAGCTGTTCTCTTATTTAATTTGGAGATAATGGGTTAGATTGCTACAAAGGAGAAATTGAGCTTTTTCACTGTCAGGGTGAGGCTCGGTAAAGCCTGAAAACTTCTTTTCAAAAGAGCTTATAGCTGGGTACCTGGGTAAATAACAAGTGCAGTAAGATAACAGGCAACTGAAGAATAGAACAGGTTTAGTAGAATTTTTTTGCATGGTGAGCTCAGATCATCTAAATCCTGTGTTAGTTTTTATTACGTACTTGTTTTTTGAACCTTGGAATTGCTGTGTCGTTATGCTGAAGAAAACAAATAAGCCCTGTGCTGTGAATGTGCTTCAAAATACTTTCTGTGAAGAAGAGATGCTTGAGTAATATCTGGGGAGGGAAGGATTAGAAATTGCAGTTTTCTTCACACTTGCCTATAGTTAGTGACAAAAGTAGGTAAATGTTAAAAATGCATTTAAAAGGTTAGTTTGTCTCAAGCTTTGGTGTGTTGTGTTGACAACTTCCTAACTTACTGCATAGTCAACTTCTGAATTACTTTGCTAATCAAAGGTATTTTTTCTTCTTGAACTGGAAACACCTTGACAGTATATTGAATCTTTTCTTCCACCTTTTATTTTTTTAAATGAAGTGTACATATATCTTGGTTTTGTAATTTTTGTCTAGGTAAAAATCCCCAAAACCTATGGGTGATGTCCCTTGAAAGAGAAAAAAAATATGTAAACTGAATAATCCTATGATGCACAGAGATTTTTGGTTTGTATTCTACTCTAGCAGTAGTTCTAATTTCTTGCTGGGACATGGAGAGAACTGTTAAAATCAGTTTAAGATTGAAGAGCAATTTATATAAAATATCTGTAAAGAAAATTATAAACCCCAATATTTTGTCTCCTAGGATTCTAAGCTACCATCTTCTGTCCGGAATACACTCCTTGAACTTTTTGGGCAAATAGAACGGGAATTTGAAAACCTGTATATTGAAAATTTGGAATGTGAGTATCTATTTTTTCTGGCAACTTATGGATTGTTTGGATTTAGTACATAGTAGCACTAATTAAAGCTTTACCTTGTGTATTGTAGTGCAGTTAGCGTTGCTTTTCTGTGGGGAGTTTAAGTATTGTTTTGAACTTGTAGCTGAAGATGGAGTTTGTACCTTTTCAGAAAAATTGCTTTCTTAGTCCTTGGCACAAGCAGAGAGAACTGATGTGTGTCACCCCTCTTGACTCTTGGGCAAAGCCAGCGAAGGGTCTCTCTCCTTGTCATTGTAGGCTCTGGTGGACACCATGTTAACGTGGCAGAAACTCCTTTGCCTTTGAAGCTTGTGGCTTTGTTCTATGCTTACAGGTTAATGATGTGATGTATTAGTAAATAAAATTGGAAAGGCGACTTGCTGGAAAAAGTGTATACTGGGGTGGGTTTGTATCATCCTGCTTATACATTGCATAACCAGCTCCTGCAGCTGTTCATGAGATTTGAAGTCAAGCACTCAGATAAAAACTCCAGGTGTTATTTGTTTAATGACAGTGCAGTTGTCTGATAATGTAGGTGATCCAAGGTGATGTAAGAGGATCCAAAGTTAAGTAACACAAGCCCGTACAGTAATACAGTAAAGCCTCTGCTCAATTTCCCTTGCTGGATTTTGGAAGCTGTGTTGCATAGCTTGGCTTCTGAATTGTGGAATCTGTCTGATTTGGCTCCAAGTCAATTTTTTTTTCCACACCTAATCTGTTCCCACAGTTAAACCAAACACTTGTGTTAAAAAAAAAAAAAGGCCATTCTTGCCTGCTTTTTCAAAATGTGCTGGTTTTTTATTCTCTTAAAACCTGAGATTGTGTTGGCTAAAGGCTATTATCAAAAGAACACATTTTTTAGTGACAATCTGCACAACTGAGTTCTCAGCCCCCTGCTGAGAAGTTGCCTGGTAGCAAAAAAAGTAGGGTTTCCTTGCCCAACTTTCAGAAATGCTTGTCAGAAAACAAGTGGTGGATTTGTAGCCCCCAGAGTATGATTATTTTTCTTCTATTCCATTTCTGTTTCTTCATCTTCTTTCTCTGCCTCACAGTTCTAATTCACTCCTGGCCTTTGTGATCTTTTTATACCCCTCTGACAATTTCTAAAATTTTCTCTTCTCATATTCAGTCTGTTATTTTTTGTTCTAGTGTTGCAGTTACTGTACAAAGAAAAACTGTACAGTCCCTTTCCCTTAGGGCAGCTTATTTCTATTTTTTTCCTTTTCTTAATCCCTTCCAGACCTCAGTCTTAGTCCTTTCAGGCAATTCTTGTATCTACCTGCTTGTTTCAGTCATATGTAACTACAAGCCTCTCTCTTTGTTTACTTCTCTTTCACATTTTTTATGGTTCATGAAAGTTTGGATTTATGTGAGTAGGAAGACAGGAAAGAGAATCTTGCCTTGCTTATTTCAAGTACTTGAGTGTGGCATGGAAGTGTAAACTGGCTTTTATAGTGCTTAGAACTGAGAATTCATTCTCAGAATGGCAAGAGTCATACTGCTGCTCTGTCACATTCTCCCATGTTTCCAAACCTGGGAGTGAATGACTTTTTTAAAAGAAGTCCAAAGAATTTGTGAAAGACAGGCCTACACTTCTTCTCAGGTGCAGCAAAAAAATGCGTGGTTAAAGCCTCTCAGTAAGATTTCACGTGAGGAGAACACTTTAAAGATCAGCCCAGATTTTGAGAAAAAAATCTTTAAGCCACCGAAAATGTTCCTATAAAATGAAATTGAGCAACTTTAAGCCAACCCAGCCACTGGAGATTGTTTATGAGTATCCGATTTGTTCATCAATGCCATCATTCTCTCTTGTGTTAAAATGGCACCGGTGAGACTCGTAGTTGACAGAAAAGTGTAATCTTGTTACATATACATGCTTTGTCTGATGTGCAATGAAAATATTTTTGTCTTATTTAGTGTTTCTAAAACAGTTGCATGTAAAATGTAGGTGCCATTCTACACTTTTAAAAAATATATTTCAAAGTACAAATAATATACATTTGGTGCACTGCCTTTCCTGTGAAACTAACAGTGGACAGGCGTTCGGGGGGGATGCTATTTGGTGATGAATAAAACCTTTGTGGAGAAAGGAATACTAATTCTGTGGCCGAAATATTTATGATGCTGCAAGTTTTCTTCTGTTGGATTTAATTCAATACAGATGTGCCATGCATTTCACAGAAGCTGTTTTGTTAATCCTTAGCCTCATTTATTAGTGAGAGTAATTAGAAGCCACCCATACTTTCCTTGGAATCTGGGTCAAGGTTGATCTCTGGAAAGTTCAGCATGGGTCTTGGTTTGTCTTGGTGAGACCTGCTTTTATAAAATCGCAGTTGATCTCTTTTCCTTTCCTTATCATAAAATAGATTACTTACTAACCATAACAATTCTTAAATAGTATGTTAATGATGTTGTTAATGATACTTAAATTTTAGTAATAATGTGAATTTTTGGTTCTGTTAGTGCGTAGAGAGATCGATACACTGAATGAGCGTTTAGCAGGTGACGGACAGACAATTGATGGAGCTGAACTGAGCAAAGGACAGCTGAAAACAAAAGGTAAGAGAGCCACAAAGAATCCTAAACCACTGTTTTAAACTTCACTTTTTGTACTTTGCTGGCCAAAACTTAAAATGTTATTGAAGGGAATTAATACCAGTTACTTAAACAAGCTAATACTGTATTTGAAATATCTGCCTTTGAATTTATTTGTCTCAACAGCCAGTCATAGTACCAGTCAGCTTTCTCAGAAATTAAAGACAACTTACAAGGCATCTACTAGCAAGGTATGAGACAAATTAAATCTCTACTCATCAATGTGTACTTGTGAGACTAACATGACTGTCTTTAAGTTGTAAATTGTGGTTTCTTTAAGCTGAGTAGTGCTGGTGTGTAAGTAAACCTGCCTCGTAAGGAGCCATATCTTTACCTTGGGTTCATTCATACCCATTACTTCAACCATATTATATGGCGTTTTTACAATAATTGCTTGCCTCTTTTCAAGAAGGAATGTTGGAGGGGAGAGAGTGTGCATAGGTGTGTATGTGGGATTACTGTTTTGTAAAGAGAACTAAAATAAATACTTCAGTGGGTATTGACTGAACAATGCTGTTTCCCAAAATGGACTGTGCTCCAAACTCACTGGGGTAGTGGATCACAACTTTTCTCTTCAGTCCATCCTTTATACTGCTACCGTATAGGGCGTTGGATTTTTTTTGTGTGTGTGTTTTTTTGGATTGGTTGTTTTTTGCCCCGGGGGAAATTAGAAGAGACTTAAGTTTCACAAACCACTTGTTTTGTATAATTGCACATGATTACATTTTTCTCATTGCCAACCTATAAAGAGTTTAGGTTTTTTCTACAAAGAACTTTCACTATTTGCTTATTCTTAGGAGAAGGCTGATCCTTGACTGCTTTAATATTGGTAAAAAATACTAGGACTAAAACAATCTGTTCATTTTCTTTGGGAAATGCTGAGGTAAACATTCTTAATTTGAGTCCTTCATGTGAAATTTCCATACCGGAATACTTTTCATCCCTTAGTTAAGAGTCTGAATATTATATTGCCAAAACTCATATCAAAGGATGCTTTTAGCAGCAAGAGTTGTCCAGTAGTGTCCAAATTCTGAAGAGACAGGGTAGAATTAGTGCTTGGTACTCTTAAAACCAATTTTTTTTGTGTGTGTTAATGGGCAAGATTCTCTAACTTAACTGCAGTTGTTTGTAGATGCAGGAATCCCTTATGTGAAATTCATATTTTGATGTTAACAAGATGTTATGTTTGTTAACAATCTCTGGCTATGACAGTTGCTAAACATCAGGAAAGCATCAACTGTTTATGCATCAACTGTTTATGCAGAGTCCTAAAATAAACTGAAATGATGTAACTTGCTCCATCTAAACTAAATTCCAGGATCTCTGATTCTTTTTAATCAAGAAAAAGATTCTTAAAAGAAGGTATTTCTTCACCCAGTAATTGAAAGTAATAAAACTTTTTGGACTACATAGTTTTTGTTGTTACTGTCCTGAGTTGACCAAGTTTTCATTCTTATTTCTAGTGTGTCCTGTCTGCATAAGAAACATTTTTACTTTGTTTGCAGTTTGTTTACAAATTGTTTCAATTTGTATTTAGTTTTCACTTGTTTACATAGTAAACAATTGTTTCCTTATTAAAAAATCTCTGTGTAGAAGGAAGCACATGAAACTGTGTGAATTTAAGTAAGAGGACAAAGGTAAAAGACACTCAGGATATGGTTGCCCACTTATTTTTGTATGATAATCCAAGATCTGCTGAGGTTAGTTAAAAAATTTTCTGCAGTACAGAGACCTCTTTTTTAGCAAGTTGAATGTTATTTAAATATTTCTTTTCCTGACTTGGAAAATTGTTTATATACGGTTAACAAAGCAGGAAGTAATCCAGGCCCTGCCTAGTTTATCCAGTTACTGGTATGTGAAGTGAGGAACAGCAAAAACAGAAAGAAAAAAAAGGTGTAGAAAAAGTATGTGATGAATTAATATCTGTATTAGGATATTTACTATTGTTTAGTGTTCTTGAACTCTTATCTTCTGTATGTTCATTCAAAACTTCTAGTACTCCAAAAGGAATTTTGTGTCCTTGACATTAAATGATCAGTGAAACCCCTGTCCAGTACTTCTGGAAAATCTGTGCTTGGTGATGAGTAGGGGATACTTTCTCCTAGAAAACTTTAGCATGAGGGTTTGACTCCACATTAGAAAGACAGAATGCAAGCATAGTTTGAGTGTGGGGTTCAGAGCTGGAAAACATCAAGTTTGGAGTTTGACCTGAATGCTATATTAGTCCTTTACTGTTAATACTTAATTCAGCTGTTCCACTTCTCATCCATAAGTCCCTTTAGTTTAAGGACTATATTCAATGCGAAAGTTGCATCTGTAGAATTGTTCAAAACTTGTGAAATTCTGCAGCGTCGTCGAACTAATAATCTTTATCATTAACCCATTTTCCTTTTAATGCTTCCTTAATGACTGTTTCTTCTTCTGCTGTGAAACCAGAATGCATATTAGCTGTTAATTTTGAATTCAACTAGGGCATTATCATCTCATCATTGGAGAGTTGACTTGCTCAGGATTTGGAATGCTCTTGCAGATTTTCTTTTAGCTTTAAAAACCTTTTTTGAAGTAATTTGCTCTAATGACGTACTTAAGACCTTCTATTTTAATACCAAAACCTAATGGGATTTTAACCTTGGTTTATTGTAACTGAAATGTAGACTTAATTAACTTCCTAACTTTTACTAAGCTGTAGATAAGTCTTAATGTGATTTGTGTTGAAGTATTTAAAGGTTTTGATTTAGCTGGTCAGATAAATACCTGCCTGTAATTGCTTGCACAGGAAAACACTGATAAATGGAAGTTGTCTTTTTGTTCCAGTTTAACAAAGCTTTTCGGGTAGTTTTTCTCAAAGAACAGTTATGAGATTGAAGACTTGTGGGTTAAAAATAGGGTATTTGTAATGGTGTTCTTACTTTTAAGTCATGACTTTTGGTTTCAGTTGTCTCTGGAAGTGTTCCAGTTTGTTGTTTGTTTGGGGTTTTTTGTTGGTTTTTTTTTCCCCCTAAGTATTGCATTCCACTTTATCTGCAAATATAGAATTTCTGAAATTTGGTTCCTTTCTGTAGATACTGAGTGTTTTCAGCCTTCCTGTACTGTAGCGCTTTGTAGTTTTACCATTTTACTAGACTTCCTTTCATTTGGTATTACTTATGCACATACTAATTTGGATTTAATGAGTCTTCTCTGCCTTTCTCTTAATAGCTTGTCTTTGAGGAGGGAGTGTGCTTATCAAATGTTTAGATGAGTTTGACATATATTTTTAAAATAAGTTTTATTACACAAATAAACAGGCATATGCTCTCAGGTTAATGTTTGGTTTGATTAGCTTCATGCAGTTTTAAAGAAAAACAGCAGTGAGTGTTCTGGATTTTACTAGAATTAAGTAATAAGTGTATTTTTTTCCAAAGACATTACACTGGGTAGCATGGACTGTCTTTAAGTTGTCAAATGTACTTCTTTGGGAATAGGCAAAGAAAGTTTTAAGGTCTTTTGCAGGGTTTGGTCTATTTTTTTTTTTTTTCATTATAGTCCTTACCCAGACTGAATGGGAAGTGCACTCTGCACTTGTACAACTCATTTCTCCAATGACATTGCATTATTATAGTACAGAATAGTTTGTCTTGCATTCTGAAAAAGGGGGAGTATTATTAAAAATGAAAAAAAAATTAAGGTATATGCTTGCATCCAGGCTCACTCTTCTATCATCAAAGGTGAAATTTTTGACAAAAGTGAACTTTCAGAACATTAAAGAATCATGAAAAAGTTAATATCTACTTGTATTTGTGAGATAATTACTTTATCTTGGGTCAGTGTGCTAAAAAAATGTTGGTCTCTGCTGTTTCAGATTGTATCCAGTTTTAAAACTACAACATCAAGGGCAATCTGTCAACTGGTAAAGGAATATGTTGGCCACAGGGATGGTATTTGGGATGTCAGTGTCGCAAAAACTCAGCCAGTGGTGTTGGGAACTGCATCTGCTGGTAAAATTTTATGTTGCTTGAATATGTAGAAAAATCTGATTTAGTCCCTAAGCTCTAGCAAATACAGATCCAAAGCATACTTGAATACTGAGCTCCACACTGAAAGAGTCCTTTTAAAAAAGTTCTGTAGCTGAAAATGTCTTAAAATTGGAATTTCCTTGAAATGCATTTAACCTGTAGAAAGTTCAAGCATCCTTGTTGATCTTTCTAAAGCATGTGCCAGTTAACTTCCATGCAGGTCACACTCTCCTTACTCAGCTCTAGCATGTTGGATGGTGTGAGTGGGTGGGATGGCAGCTGGTCTCTAGTAGAGTACAGAATGCCCTACGGCTGGATACAGAGATCCCTGTAGGCTTTCTGTCCTAGTACTGTGTAGCCTTTGTTCTGTAGAAGCTGTAGGTTTGGTCATAGTTTGCATATTCTTGTATTCTTGCATTCATCTCACTTTTGCCTCAGGATACAGGGGCAGCTAAAAATCTTAATTTTCAGTCCTTTTTACTTTGCGAGACTCCTTCCTTCCCATTGAGGGGGAACAAGTACTAGTGAATAAGTCACTAAATCTGTTATAGTCCAAAAATCAATCTAGAGGCTTGTTTAGTCTTGGAAAATTTTTATGGAAATAAACCATAACTAGATATAATTGCTCAAGTTTGAAGTGATAGTCTCCTGAAGCTGGAACAGGGACTTGAATATTATGGACTAGAAACCTTGGCTTCGTAACTGAACTGTTAGAATTTTTATGTGCCCACCGACGGGCACGTCTTGTCTTTGTCCTGATTTAACTTGGAAACAGCCATTCTCCAGTTCAGCATTAAAGTACTTCCCACTTGCATACTTGTATTATTTATATATTTTTGGGTGCGGCAGGATAAAGGTGTGGCATTTGGAGTGATTTCCTCTTTAAATAAATTTTTGTAGTGCTCTGCAGTGACCTGTGTGCATTTGGGACTTCCATGCAGGAAGCAAATAGATTGTGCATAGAATTCTTGCTTGTAGTGACTGCCTTTTTCACCACAGAATGCTTTCTCTGTGCTTCCTGAATCTCATGATACACAGGTGGAACATTATACAGAAGTATATAACCAAGTTAGGAAAAATATCAAAAGTAGAATTTGCCTTTCAATACTTTCTGCAAATCAATCTGATTAGGACAACACCTTTATTTTTTGGGGGAGATATGTATTAAGTTATAATGATAAGAAGCTTTTATATTTTATATACAGTCGAAGATAACTTGTTTGTTAGCATTAAAAATTAAAAACATACATTTGTAACTATTTACAACTACTTCTTAATCTTTGTAGATCACACTGCTTTACTGTGGAGCATAGAAACAGGGAAGTGCCTTGTCAAGTACGTAGGGCATGTTGGATCAGGTAAGATAAGGGCATGTTGTGAAAACTGGGAGGGGAAAGTGGGTTTTGGACAATTACAGAAATGCTTATTGTGGTTTCACTTGCAGGTTTGCCAACACCATTAACAAGTCAGTTGTGAAGTTCCACTAATTTTCATACAGAGAAGGTTCTGCAATATGATTCTTTCTTGGAGAGGCACATTAAGGCAGTTCTGCAAATGCTAAATGAATAAACAACTCCATATAAAGAAATTTACAGGCACAGTTATGACACTCAGAAGTTAAATGTCAGGACTCTTTGAGGTCTCATGCATATGCAAAACAAGAGAATCTTATGTAACCAGAAAATTAACTGTCTTGCAGGATATGTGTCATATTTGAGATACAAAATACAGATGCTGCGTGAATATCTGTTTGCACTTCTTTGTTTAACACATGATCCCACGTATAATTTGCTGCATAATATTAAATTGTCATCTTGTTTTGAAGTCAGTTACTTATGTATTGGCATTTGTCTTCCTTTATCCCAGTATGAATATTTCAGAAATTTTTTTTAAACCCCTCTTTGGGTGGAAAGGTGCAGTGCAATGAGTGCTGTTTATGTTAATCTTAAATTTTGGTGTCCAATTTGACAAGCACCCAATTAGCCTTCTTCTCTCTCATAGTGGGTTACAATATAGAATTTTATAGACCAAAATTGAAGAGGTTTTCCTTAGCTTTAACTTGCTGTTGAGAATTGAGCACTTTGAGTGCAGAGTCATGCACCCTGAAGATGAGAAATGCAGTTATTGACCAGGAATGTTTGGTTAAATAGCACATTACATGACCCTTGTGGCAAGGATACAAGTAGAATTAAGTTCTCCAGGGAGTGGTCAGTTGCTTCAGCCATGTGTTCTACTTTTTCTTCCTTCTATATGACTTCTAGTTCCTACAGCACAAAGATAGATGCAGATAAACAACTGGCAACACTTTAATTTGTTCAGATATCTCAGGTTGCTTGCTGCATGGACTTTCAGCTTCTATGAAGTTGTGTTTAAAAACTTCAATCACTTGCACTGTCATGCTGATAGTTTTCTTTTAAAATTGCTATTTGGATAACCATGAAAATAGTAAGTTCTAACCTGTATTTTAAAAATTGTGTTGAAACAAAAAAATTATAAATTATGCTGTATAGAGATTTTATATAATTACATACATGTAAAAATTACATTAGAAATAATATATTTTTCATTTAATAAAACTTTTCTTGTTTGACAGTTGATTTAAAATGATGCAAAGGTGCCAGCAGTTGATGCACCATTGATTAGTTCAGTTTAAGAAGCGTCTTCTCAGACTTATTACACCACACTCTCCCAACAACATAAGCATCTATTTTACTTGTATGATGGATGGAAATAATTTCAGAGTTCTTTCTTGAATTGAATCTTATGCACTGAAATAAAAATGAAGAGCTTTATAGGTTGATAGAATTCTTGCAGGACTATTTTAAGTCCATCATATTTTGATTACATATGGTTGCAAGACTGAAATCTGATTTGTATTATTTGCATCAGGTTTTCAGGCATTTATCTTGCAATCCTAAGTAACAATCAGAACGTTGATGGTCCTATATAATCAGTTTTCATTAAGTTAGAAATAATTAAGAATACTGGAATTCTCTTTATGGAAGTCCAGAGCATTATCCACTGTCAGCTCACTTATGATTATTTGAATGTGGTTTCTTTATCCTCTCTAACATGAACCATTTGTACTAGATTCAGGAAATCATTTTCTAGAAAATATGTATTGTTGTATAATCAACTATAGCTGCTTTCTTTGATGCTATGCCTTTATCTCACCTAAGTTATTACTATAAAAATTACTCAAGGCTCAAGGTGACTTGATTTTTCAATGCTTTTAAAACAAAACATTGTGAAAGAATTCTTTTTGTATGCTAACTTAAAAATTTACTTTGTTTCACACAGTAAACTCCATAAAGTTTCATCCCACTGAGCAAGTGGCTCTTACAGGTATGTAAAATTTTTTCATATGCTGATTATTTTAGTTATTGTAGAAAATAAGTGTGATTTGCCAGCATCTGTGTAGGTGGGAGCATTGGGCAATGGTTAATGGGATGAAATTTAACAAGTTCAAATGCTGGATTCTGCACCTATGACAGAGTAATGTTGAGCACACGTATAAATTGGGACTGGAGTGGCTGGAGAGCAGCCCTGCAGAAAGGGCTCTGGAGGTGCTGGTTGACAGCAGGCTTGATGTGCCTGCAGTGTGCCTGGGCAGCCCAGAGGGCAAACCTCATCCTGGGATGCATCAAACACAGCACAAGCAGGTGGACAAAAGAAGTGCTTGTCCTGCTGTATTCAGTGTTGGTGCGGCCTCTCCTGGAGAACTGTGTGCAGTTCTCGGCCCCACATTTAAGAAAGATGTGAAGGTCCTTGAATGTATCCAGAGGAGACCAGCAAAGCTGGTGAAAGGGCTGTCCTGTGAGGAGCAGCTAAGGACTTTGAGTTTGTCTCTTTTGGAGAAAAGGAGCCTGAGCAGCAACCTCGTTGCTCTCTACAGCTCCCCGAGGAGGGGAATTGGAAATGGAGATGCTGACCTCTTCTCCCTGGGATCCAGCAATGGGATGCACAGGAATGGTTCAAGGCTGTGCTGGGGAGGGTTAGACTGGACATTAGGAAGGATTTCTTTACCAAGAGGGTGGCCAAGCACTGGAACAGGCTTTCTAGAGAGGCTGTCATTTGGACAATGCCCTTAACAACATTCTTTAACTTTTGGTCAGGTCTGAAGTGGTCAGGGAGTTGGACTGGTTGATGGTTTTATGTCCTTTCCAACTGAAATAATCTGTTCTATCTATCTATATCCATACATGATATTCCCAGAAGTAAAGGAAAAGAATATTGTGCTACTGAGTGTGCAGAAAAAGCAGTGTGAAAATATGATTGTTAGTGTAAAGGTGTTTTCAGGCCTGAGTGTACCATCAGTGCAGCTTCAGGTTTGAAAACTCTCTGGTGTGCCTAATACTGTGGTTCATATAGTTCAATAATTAGGCCACTAGCTTTGGAATGAAAGAGGTCTGGACTGAATTTGCTGCTACTAGGTTAGTCATTGTAAAATGAGGATAATTATTACTGAGGTTAGAAATGAAAACACTTCTGCTTTCTGCATCTGCACTGATCACTTAAAAGGAAGGTAGGGAGCATCAGACCTTCTATGTAGGCTAATGATTTAAGTTTATTTGGATTTTCCTGTTTTCATTTGCTAACCTTAGCCTTTGTTTCAGTACCATAAGCAATGTTGCTATGTAAACTGACTTGTGAAAACCAAACTAAACAAACAAAAGCTGCCTGTAGATAGATTTTTTTTGTTCTTCCATTATTTTTTTGAGAGATGGTTCTGCAACGTATTTCACTTGCAAATTTTCAGGCGTCTTGTTGTTCAGTGATAATTGATTTTATAACTGATTAAAATAAGAAAACTTTCCCCCTAATCCAGAATAGTGACATGAGGCATAATGTAAGGTTGACCTTTCTTCTAGCCTTCTTGGTCTGTTAGATGAGTTATTTTTCTTAGTGCTTTCATGTACATTGCACTTGCCAGAGCTTTGCATGCTCATTACAAACTGTTTTTCTCAACCTAGAACACTCAGCACTGTACCCCCAGGTATTAGAACTTGTTTGTTCTGTCCATAATAAGGAAAATCTTGAGTTTCTCCTTAGTAAATGGGTAAGTCTTTTTCAAAACCCGAGCTGTAATCTAGTGTCAGTTAAGCTGAGATTTCAAGGCAGAAGCAGAATAGCTTCACACTTGCTCTTTAGTTTCTCATTAAAAGCCTGCTAAAAGCATCTAATGGAAGAAATAATTGAATGAAGAACCAAAATATTTTGAGAAATGGCAAATGAAGAATGGCACCTGTGATGTATTAAATGCCTTCTTCAAATATTACATATTGGAATAACGCAGGTACTCGTCTTCTGATGTGTAGTATTTGAGTGGATGTTTCACTGTAGGAGTGATTAATTTGGTACCTATTTATATTTTTCAAAATGAATTATGTTCTTAATCAGTATTGAAGCCAGGAGAGTAACTGTTGATGTTGAGACTTGCTTACCATAAAGTTTGCAGTGGTATCTGTTAAAAAAAGATGGAACTCAGACAGTATTGCCAAATGTAACATTAAAGGTTGTTTTTATTGCCCATGGAAATGCTCTTATTTATTCTCTCTCTCTTTTTTACCTCTCTTCCCCCTGTGCAGCATCTGGAGACCAGACAGCTCACATCTGGAGATACATAGTACAGTTGCCTACACCTCAGCCAACTGCAGACTGCAATGTAAGCAATCAACTTACTGCAACTGAACTAATTGCACAGCAGTTTCATCAGATACAGGTTTTGTGATAAGACTGAATGTTAAATTTACATATAATTAAAAAATTACATGATTTGAGGATTGCCAAAGGTGGGATTTTAAGGTTTTAATTTAACAGCTGTATTTCAGCCTTTCTTTGAAAATAGACTTGCTTCACATTTTCAAAGGTGTGTCGTGCAGAATAGAATTGGCAGCTGCAAGTGCATTAATTGAATTTTTTTTCAAGGTAGTAAATGTGTAAGTAAATGAAGATGAGTAATTTTTTTTGGCAATAATTCAAATTATAAATAATGAAGTTCTTTTTAAAGTAATTAAATTCTTGTAGCTTTACTTACTGAGGCACCTGTATTAGCTATATTGAAGACAAACAGAGGTTATAGCATGAGCCTCTCAGTAAGCTAAACAGGGGCAAAGAGATGGCTGTATCATATGAGACAAATTTCTGAATGGAAAATATTTGATTCAGTTTATTTGATTTGGCATTTCCCATTTTGAAAGAACAGTACAAATGTTATCTTTTTCATATCCATGAAACATAAAAGAAAAATGGTTTTGTCTTGTGTAAGTGAAAAAGAGGTTCAGAGTCTGATGTTTCATGGTTGACAAAAGAATTTATTTTGCATCTAGTTTACATCAGCACTGCATGATGACCATGTATTGACCAACAGACAAATATTGATGTAATGATTTAAGTTTAATGGATGAAAATATGTCTGTAAATGACTGTCTTCCTGAAGATTAAAATAGTCAGTGTCCTGTTAGATGCTTCCTATCCTTAAAAATTGAAAGGAAAAAAGTCCCTTGATAAATATGCTGCAATGAAATTCTAGGGTAATACAGTAAGGGAATATGAAGAAACCTTTCCAGATAGTAAAGGGAACAGATCCTCAGAGCTAGAGAGTTCAGAGGAGACTTTAAAATGAAGTAGAATTGTAGATTCATTTAGATTAGAAAATAAAACCCTCCTAAGATCATCAAGTCCAGCTGTTGACCCAACACTGCCAAGTCCACCACTAAACCATGTCCTTAAATGACACATCTGCATGTGTTTTAAACACCTTCATGGATGGTCACTCCACTCCAGCTTCCCTGAGCTACTTGGTCCAGCGCTTGACAACCTTTTGGTGAAGAAATTTTTCCCAACAGCCAATCTAAACCTCCCCTTGGTGCGTTTCCTTTTGTTCTGTTGCTTGTTACTTGGGAGAAGACGCTGACTCCTACCTTGCTCCAACCTCCTTTCAGGTGGCTGTAGAGAGCAATAAGGTCTCCCTTAAGCCTCCTTTTCTCCAGCCTGAACAACCTATTTCCCTCAGCTGCTCCTCACAAAATTGTTAATGGAGTTATTAAAACTGAAATTAACTCACTGGTTATATTCCTTCAACTAAGTTTGTGATAGTGAGTACCTGAGTAGGCCAGGTGCTGCAGAATTAAGTTACACACATTCTCATTGAGGGGATTGGGAAGCATTTACGCTGCAAAATGTAACTTTGAGACATTCCCTCCCTTCTATAGTAAATCTTTTTTTCTCTTGTATTTTATAGCAAGTGACTGGAGAAGACGAAGTTGAGTTCTCAGATAAAGATGAACCTGATGGAGATGGGGATGGTTCCAGTGATTGCCCCACTGTCAGAGCGCCGTTAACTTCTCTGAAAAGCCATCAAGGAGTGGTCATAGCAGCTGACTGGCTGGTTGGGGGGAAGCAGGCTGTGACAGCATCGTGGGATAGGACAGCAAATCTGTATGATGTAGAGACTTCTGAACTTGTCCATTCTCTTACAGGTATTTGTTCACTCACAAAAAAATTAAATTGGTAGTTTGTTTTTATACGTGGGATTATTTGTAGATACAAAAACATTGGGAAAGTAATTTGTTTCTCTGGACCACAACATGAATGTGTACAAGACTGAAGCTGCTGCTCAATGCTGTAGTAGTTTCTAGAATTACCACCTTGTAAATCCCCTGAGCGTGAATTTGTCTTCTCTTTAAGCTTGTGATTTAACCAATGAGAGTAGTTGTTTTTAAACTGAATGTACCCAAATTCTAGTTCTTGCAAAATGCTTTTGCTGTGTTCAGGGCGTATAAAGCAGCAATAACCTGTACTACTTGGTGTGAAATGAGTAGTGTGGTTTTTTCCCTTCGAATACAGTCCCAAACTTTTACACCGGTAGTAACACTAAAGTTCAGAATGATCACTGTACTTCTCAGTTTGGGGAAAAAAGAAAAAAAATCATCAGCATTTTGTTCCAAGTGTATCTGGAAATGAAAAGTCTTATTTTCATTGCCTTACATGTTCTCATCTGTGGTTGTAGGGCACGACCAAGAGCTCACGCATTGTTGTACACATCCCACCCAGCGTCTTGTGGTGACATCATCACGCGATACAACCTTCCGTCTGTGGGATTTCAGAGATCCTTCTATCCATTCCGTGAATGTCTTTCAGGGCCACACAGAGTAAGTGACAGCTCCTTCACAGGTTTTTACAAGTTCCAAAAGTATAATCTGAAAGAAACTGTTCCAGTGCTTTTTTTAAGGTATTTAAGTTCATTCCTGTTCTGCGAGACTGATTCTCACAGAAACCTCTAACTGTCCTCCTTCAGATGTTACACAGCAGCACTTAATTTCCCAAATAGCAGCCAGGGCTCTTGATGTGATATTGCTTACGTGGTTAAGTCTCGATAAAAGTTGTTATAATTAAAGGTGATTTAAGGTATGAGCTTGTTTTTGGCACTGGTTATGCCTATAGTTCGGGATTATTGCTGTGATACAGTGGGTCAAGCAGATTGCCTCTGCTTGCCGTGATACTCAGTATGAAATAAAGGTTACTTCTTTGGAACCAGTGGACCAAAAAGCAGGATTAATTTTTACCCTTGAAAGCTTCTAATTTTTACATTAAATAGGAAAGTAAAGTAAGGACACTGATTGCCGTATTCTGTCAAAATAGTGATTTTGATGCAACGTTTTTAGTTACCAGTTCAGGCTTAACTTATACTGACGACTGTTGAAGAGGGACAAATGTAGTCCTGAGAATCTGTTACAGTGTTGACTTAACTTTCTGTTTATCTCAGCTTTGATACATGGAAAATACAGGAGTATTGGAAATACTTTACCCAAGGAAGCAAGTCTTTTTTTAAGACTTCAGAACTTGTTAAGACTTTTAAGCTTGACTATATCAGAAAAAATTTCACCTCCTTTCTTCAGAATAAAAGATGATTGTTAATCCTAGCTCAAAACAAAACACACAAATATTTATTCACATTTTTGGTTTTTTGTTAATTCAAATGTATAATTTGCATTATGACTGAGTTTCAGTATCCACTTCTTCATTTCCTCAGCTATTGGCTAACCTATATATAAAGTAAAACCTCTTTAACCCTCCCTGCCCCAGACTCCTCATCTTGATAAATTATTTGGTGCATCACAATCATCCCATGTAAGTAGACATCGTCTCCTGATAGAATAATAACCTTGATTTTGTGGCCTGCATCCTAGAATTGTTTCGTGCCATGACTTTTGTACTCTTCTGTCACTTTTTCTAGAATGACTTGCAAAACTTGGAAGGTTTTGTATCCAATTCGTGCTTGCATTTTTTTCTCACTTCTTCGTCCCAGGACATTTTTTCAGAGAAAGGATCAAGATTGACATTCATGTTTTTTCTGTATGTTGGCTGAGGCCAAATGATGTTGATCTGGGGTGATGGTGCAGATTGTAAAAGCTGTTAGCCGGTGTTTTGGCCTCCATTGCTGAGACCTACAAGCTAGCAGGGCGTTTATTTTTTATGAATGGAATAGACCTTGTGCAACCTCTTCAGTCACTCTTATTCCAGCTTTTAATCATCTTCATATTTGTGTTTGTTGCATCACCTGTCTCCATTTTGTTCTTTGAATGTATGAGTTATTAGTATTGACATAGGCTTTTCCACTAAATACACCCTAAATTTAAGGGTCTCAAAACTGACTTTACCATTCAGTGGCTAAGGCTGCTGATGTCTCTGTTCTCATGAGTAGGTGATTCTGTTAGGGAGGTGAGTGTTTCACTGAGGAGTGCAGGCAGAGCAGAGATGAGGGTGGTATTTGGCAGTTGAGACATGCTTTGAGGGATTTTATTTTTGGACATTAACTGTACTGCCTTGTGGGAAAATCTTTTCAAATTACTCTCTAATCAATGCTATAACAATCTCCTCACATTAAGCAGCATAGAAGAAACTTTTATCTATTGACTAGAAAATGGATACACACAAGACTTTTTTTTTGCTTTCCTGAGTGTCTCTTTGAACAATTTGCCAAGCTATTAATATTTTGATAGGCCCTTGGCATCAGTTCTGTAAATTGGATGTTACAGTCATTAACACTGATGATTTAAAGTCCTCAACCATCGGTTTTAACAGCCTCTGGCTGAGCAGCACCTGACGAGGAGCTCATAGAGCAGCTGTTTTTTCCCTGTGTATTTCACCAGATCAACTCTTAATACGTTAAACCAATATAATTAGATGCCAAACATCTCAATCATGAGGCCAACATACCGTGTTTTTTGTGTACTACAAGGCAAAATCTTATTCCATCCGAAATTCCTTCTCACTGCGGCTGCACAGCGCGCCTTGGCCGGCAGGTGTCAGCACTGTTACACTGTGTGAGGGTCCGCGGGCTGAAGAATTTGGGGGAGGGTGTAATTCCAGCTTCCTTTTATTTACCTTAATGTGTTAAAGTGAAGATTTATTCAAAATGGCTCATTATCGTCTTAAAATTATAACCGATGCTGATCTGTTTAGAGAAAAAGGAATCCTGTTACATGATTTTATAAAGTAAATTGACATCAAAAAATGAAAAGTTGTTGTGCGTTGTCATGTACTATAATGTTCTATCAAAGGCAGTGTATATTTTTTAAGTGATTATTTATATCTTAAGTGGACTAAGGAATCACCTACTATTTTGGTGTCCTGAGCATATAGCTTCTTTATTAGAAGCAGAATGTTCCTTATTGTCTACTACTGTGACAATTTAAGAAAATAAATTATCTTCCAGTAAGGCCAAAAGGAATCGTTGTGATCGACACATCTGTCTTGAGCTTCTTGCATTGATAACTGTTTGGAATTAGGAGGCAATTTTGGGAGAATTGCTAACTGTATGTGAAGTTATTTCGGTGACAAAGATTCCAGCTTATTTCTTGGTAAATTCTGTATGTTGCTTATTGCAGTGTTTAATTAACTTCCCTGTTAAACTTTTTGCGCCTCCCTAGTCCGAGTTTGTCCAGCTTCACTTTCTGTCTTCTGATTTTTATCTTGAAGAGCTTTGTTTCCTGTATTTTCTTTTGTACAAATTACCAGTTCTTATATACAAGTTACCTATTTTGCCTTAAAGTGTGTTTTTGAATATATTTTGAAATTTATAGACCAATATAGTACATTGACAGTACATTTGCACTTCAAGCCTACATTCAGCTGAGTCTTTAAAGTATATTAAGGTCTTTTTCGAAGTTACATCTTCCTATGGAAGTTTCCAGATCTGTTCACATTTTTCATATATATGACTGTTTCAGTTCAGTACATGACTTGTTTGCCTGTGCCTTGCTCACATAGTCATAAAAATACCTTGTCACATTTTGGTTTACATTTGCCATGTTCATCTCACTTACTTATTCTCTACTGATTAAAATCATAGAATCATAGAATCAGCCAGGATTGGAAAAGACCTCTGAGATCATCAAGTCCAACCCTTGATCCAACACTGCTGTAGTTACTAGACCATGGCACATCCAGTGCCACATCCAGTCTCATCTTAAAAACCTCCAGGGATGGAGAATCCACCACTTCCCTGGGCAGCCCATTACAATGCCTGATTACCCTCTCTGTAAAGAATTTCTTCCTAATATTCAACCTAAACCTCCCCTGGCAGAGCTTAAGACCTCTTGTCTTACTGATAGCTGCCTGGGAGAAGAGACCAACCCCCACCTGGCTACAACCTCCTTTCAGGGAGTTGTAGTGAGTGATGAGGTCTCCTCTGAGGCTCCTCTTCTTCAGATTAAACAACCCCAGCACCAGCTGTTCTCCTACTGAGAAATTTTTGAATTTAGTGGTTATTGATTAGAACTCTTCAAATTGAACTAAGGTTTTGTTCTGAAGAGGAAAATGGTTCTGGCATCTACATGGCAATTTTCATTGCAACTTCATTTTTGTTTTTGTTTGCCAATGCCTGCATAGCTGTGTCTTGTTGGGGCTGTGAAGGCCTTTCTTTTACCAGCACAGTGACCTAGTTGAATGACCAGTGTTGACATGCTCTTGCATATGTGCTTGATGAGATTTTTTGTCCCTTTAAGTACTCTGCATGCGCTTGATGTGTGGAACCTTCTAAAATGCTAATGTTGGAAATCTTTACTATCTGTAGCTTAAAAAATCCCCCTTAGTCTGTACAGGTCTAGTCAAGTACTTTACAGATTTTATTCACTTGTTCTGTCAATTCAGTAACACTGGAAATAAATTGGCAACAGAATGCTTATTAGCTAGTGGATTTATATACAGCTTTTAAACTGAACAGTCCTTTTGCTGTATATTTGTATGCTGATGGTTATATGCAGCTGATGAATTACTTGGTAAATAATAAAGGGTTTTGTTTTGCTTAGTGACCATCAAAGGTGCACAGTGGTTGGGGACATCTCTCTTGAAATGCTTGAATAAAAATATGCAGGGCTTCCAAGTCTGGACTTGCAAATACCATCCTTCAAAGAATAAAATGATGTCTTAAGAAGCAGCTGTGGGTTGCTATCCTAAACTGAATATCCTTTGTTAATGCTTCTTGATTGTTCAGTGTATAGCAATGCACCACCTTGTCTGGGCGATTAAATGCATTTTTGGCTTAAAAATAAATAAAAATTTGACTAGGTACTTTTGACCTAGCTTGAAAAAAATTACAAAGTTTGTTTACTGCTTTTCAAACTTACTGATCTTTGTGGCTAGATTGAACCAGTGCATCAAGTGTGAATGTGTGTTAGTTGTGGAATCTGTATCTTTGTGTTACTTTCTAGAAAACTCAGGGGGAAAATTGCTTAATCTTACACTATTTCTTCCAAAGAGCTGAGCAAGCTGGCTTATAGCTCTTTTGGACTATGGCATATTCCTTCTCCTTTCACTCTGGTCGTGTGGCTGTAGGAGACCAGAAGGGAAAGTTCCTGTTCATTTGCTGCTTGAATGTCTCTGAATATGCAGCTGGATGGTGAGTTGTGCTTCATCCAGAGAACTTTGAAATTAGAGAGCTGCAAATATGTCTTGTTTCATATTTTCATTTTCAAACTCCTACACTTGCTGGAAAATCTCAATTAAAAAATGTAAAAATGATTAAGCAGCTGCTGATTAGGATGCAGGGCTGAATTTTGGCATTTAGTGAATTGAGAGTTAATGTCAAAATGGCATTCCATTTCAAGAGACTAATAATTGCTTTAGTTTCGTGGACACTCAGCATTCC